TGGGACACTGCAGCCGTCATAAATATGAGTCAGGTGCCAAGCATTCAAATTTTGATCATGTGACCATGGAGATGCTGCAAAGGTCGTATGTGTGAAAAATGGTCAAAAGTCACTTTTTTCACTGCTGTTGTGACTTTGCATGGTCACTATACAAACTGTTGTAAATCAAGGACTACATATAATCAAATATTTAATCCTACGCCTTCTCCCCAAAGTGAGGACCGACCCTAGAGCTACCAGAAGTTGACGGCAAAAATCCTAACAGCCAATCGAGGGCAGCCAAGAGAAAAATACAGCTCTTTGCTGGTGTTTTGTGAAGGCCCAACATTGTGCAACTCAGGTATTTTTGCCAAAGGTTAGGCTTAGAGTTAGGGTTAGGGTCATTGTGACTGTGAGTAGCTATTGTCCTTCAGAAAACCTTGAAGACTGGATCTTTTCAGTAGGTCCTGGGAGAGCATTACAGGTAGTCCTTGACTACCTGTAATGCTCTCCCAGAATAGAATAGAATTCTTTGTTAGCCAAGTATGATTGGACACACAAAGAATTTGTCTCTGGTGCATAACTTGGGACCAGAATTTTACCATATTTTTTGGAGTATAAGACGCACCTTTTTACCCCCCAAAAGAGGGTGAAAATCTGGGTGCGTCTTATAGTCCGAATGTAGCCCCGCCCAGCCTCTGAAACCTCCGTTTCAGAAGCTGAAAAGAAAGCAAAATGCAGAGCTCACAACCAACGAGCCTGTTGTTAAAGTTCACCTCTGGGAACAGTTGATTGGGAGTATTCTGGGAGGCTGATCCACCCCCAATCAGCTTGTTTCTTATTTTCCTCCCCAAAAACTAAGGTACATCTTATACTCCAGTGCATCTTATAGTCTGAAAAATACGGTAATTGCTAAGCAAGTCAAATGATACGTGAGTTGTATCCTGTTTTACCACCCTCTTTGCCATGGTTATTAAGTGAATCATTGCAGTCATTAAGTGAATCACATGTTCATTAAGCGAATCCAGCTTCCCCCATTGACTTTGCTTGTTGGAAGCCGGATGGGAAGGTTGCAAATGGCAATCACGTGACTAAGGACACTGGAACCGTCAGAAATACATGCCTCTTGCCAAGCACTTGAATTTTGATCACGTGACTGTGAGGATGCTGTGAGAGTCATAAATCTTAGGACTTGGTGGTGTAGCGGACTAAGAGCCTCAGTGGTGCAGCGGACTAAGTGCTGTTAAGTGCTAGCACTTAGCTGCCAGCTGCCTGCAATTAGTGCGAATTCAAATCTCACCAGGCTCAAGGTTGACTCAGCCTTCCATCCTTTCGAGGTAGGAAAACTGAGGACCCGGATTGTGGGGGCAAGAAGCCAGCTTTGTATAGAACAACACCGCTTGGAGGGGCTGAAAGCCCTAATAAGCAGGTGTATACATAAAAGTATGCAGGCTATTGCTATAATGCATTGTAAGCCGCCCTGAGTCTACGGAGAAGGGCGGCATATAAATTGGACTAATAAATAAATAAATAATAAGACTGGTCATAAGTTATTTTTTTCAGTTCTGTTGTAATTTTGAATGGTCGCTAAATGAATAATTGTAAAAGCCAAGCGCATGGGCAGTTCACGTTTCTTTGTTAGCAATGTTCTGCTAGTTCTAATTGTTTACTTTCGAGCTAACACGCTAAATAAACAAACAAATCAACGAAGTCTTAAATTAATCACAAAATATGGAGAAATATGAGTTCTAGGTCTTGTCATATTGAAGGACAATGTGGGAAAATGATCTGTACAGCTGTGATTCAATCTGCTGCCTGTGTGTTGCAACATTTCGCGGGGAGAAGGATTTTGTTCTTCCTTTGAACTGAACATCCTTTCAAAGAGAGAATGATTCTTCATATAAAACAGAACCTCCAGCAAGGTCAGACTGACCCATATATCTTAAGAGACAGAGACTATTTCAGCACACAATTTCTATGAGTTAAAGAGACAGCTGATCTTTCGGTTAAGGCAGGAAAATCCATCTGTTTTGAACTGATGGATTTAATTATCATGCATATCTTTAAAGAGTGTAGCAAAGTTCCCAAAAGTAGCTCATTAACTCTGAGCTGGTTCTGTTGATGACTTGCAGTATAGTCGTACTATCCTCTACTACTATGGTAGGCCCTCCTAAGTGTTTATGACCTAGTATTCTCAGAAAATGGTTAGTATGTTATTGCGGATTCTTTTTGGCAGATGGTGCCAGGACCACCTAGACCTCGAGGATAAATAAGTCCCCTGAAGTACAAATATACTTCAAGATATATATTCCTATTTTAAATATTTAAATTTTAAAAAGTTTGTTTTGTTTTCTTATTCCCACAAATCATTTTTAGCTTTGAGGGGCACTTGGTGCTCTCTGAGCTTGGTTGTTTTCTTGCAGACATTTCAATACTCAAATTAGATAACATCATCAGTGATGCTACCTAGTTTGGGTAATGAAACATCTGCAAGAACTATTCAATTTTATTTTATCATTCTAGTTGTCTATCCAAGCATGTTGAAAAATTGTAAAGCTATAGGGTTAGAAAACATAATGGAAAAATACTGTGTTTCCCCAAATATAAGCCCTCCCCTGAAAATAAGCCCTTCCCCAAAAACAAGCCCTCCCCGAAAATATTTAAACACATTTGTGCATCCCTTTTTTTTTTAATTCTCGCTGGGTTTGTACAACAATGTCATCAGGTCAATCACATCTACCTCTAATTTATTACCTGAACTCAGATCATGTATGTCCTGCAAACAGATTGTGTAAACCATGAGTAAAATATTTATGGATAAGTGTCACAGAAGTACAACTTCAAAATATACTGCAGACTCTTAGTTTTGTTTAGGTTGGTTTTAAGATTCACTGGGATTTCCACATATCACTATTTTAATTTTACGAGTAAAAAATGGATGTATTGCCCTGTACTTCATCGGTGGGTATCTTAAATCAATTTCTTGGCCAACACCTTCCAAGATTGTTTATGTGTTCTTAAGAACTAGAAACTTCAAGCCATATAAGGACTAGGGTTGACATGATAGCAGTCTTCCAACATTTGAGAGGATGTTACAGAGAAGAGGGTGTTAACTTATTTGCCAAAGCACCTACGGCCATGATGGCGAACCTATGGCACGCATGCCACAGGGGGCACATGGAGCCATATCTGTGGACATGGAAGTGTTGCCCTAGCTCAGTTCCAGCGTGCATGCGTGCGCCGGCCAGCTGATTTCCAGGCCTTCTGGTCCCACCGGAAGTCGGGAAACAGCCCGTTTCCAGTCTCCGGGGATGAGGAAGGCCGTTTTTGTCCTCCCCAGGCTCCAAGAAAGCCTCTGGAGCCTGGGGAGGGCAAAAAACGGGCCTACCTGGCCCACCGTGTCATCGCATGCCAAAAGCGGGGAAAGCATGTGGGGTCGTGCACACATGCGCGGCATGTGGGTTTTGAATTGTGGGTGTGGGCACGCACACGCACAATCCCCCCATGCTCCCCCCGCTTTTGGTACGCGACAGCAAAAAGGGTTAGCCATCACTGACCTACGGGCAAGACAAGAAGTAATGGACGGAACTTATCAAATAGAGAATGGCTTGGCTTCAAAAGTTGTTGGTGCTTCATCACTGGACGTTTTTAAGAAGAGAGTTGACAACAAAATACGAAAATGCGATTCTCATCATAGAGGTGCCAACAGCCTGTGCCAATCCTTTTAGAAAGGCTCTTGATAATAGATTTCTCGAGGGGAACTGGAGTTTCAGTCCCACTTTTGAGACAAGGAAACCAAGCTTTCCTTCTCCCGTAGCTTCAAAAGTGCAAAACGCAAATCCAGTTTAATCCAACATGTATGTCTATGGAGATTCTCAGTCATCCAGGTCATGGTTATTTTCATTATTATATTAATATTATAATATTATTATTGTTGTTACATCCTCTAACCGCCACAGCTTCAACCTTAATCTGTCTACCATGGACTTCACCACATTCCTAAGAGGTCCATAAAGGGGGGGTGCATAAGCGCACCATCGTTCCTACCGTCCCCATTTACATGTACTTATTCCTTGTTCATGTCCATGTTTATACTTACACCTGTTATCTAGTACATGTTCGGCAAATTAAATAAATGGTTGTCTCAAAAGTGCTTTACTGGGCAACATGATATATGCGGTACAATGCAGTGAGCCATGTGCAGATCTGTACATTGGGGAAACAAAACAACCACTTCATAAACACATGGCACAACATAGGAGAACAAACTCATCAGGACTAGATTCAGCACTCCATCTACATTTAAAAGACAAAGGCCACTCTTTTGAAGACAGCAAAGTCCACATTTTGGACAGAGAGGACCACTCTTTGAGGGATCAAAGAGGCCATCTATGTCAAAATTGAACAGCCCTCTCTCAACAGAGGGGGATGGATACGGCAACATCTATCTTCAATATGTCCTTTCAAAAGGCTCCACTTGCCCATTTGCACCACTCAGGTGACCCTGAGGACACAGATAAACCTCCAAGGTGGCCTTAACAACTCGCTGAAAGAATCCAAATGACCAGCTGTCTTGCAAGGAGTATAAATCCTTCCATTCCCCACCATCCAGCCAGAGCTGAAGAAGCTTCTTGGATGAGAAGCAAAACGTGTCTTCAAAGAAAAACCCAGAAAGTCCACTTGCCTCTTGAAAAAAGGAAAAGAAAAAAAAAAAAGCAGCACCTTTGGTCATCCAAACGTGTAGTTTTCTCCTCCCACCACTAGGAGATGCTGTGGGGCGGGAGGGAAGACACCGCCTTTTAAGGAGGAGGAAGAAGGCCTCGCACCTGGCAAATTGATCAGGGATCGTCAGGCGCACCACCGCAAGCCTATTTGGGCCGCGGGAAGAACTAAGGCCCGGGAATGGCGGGTGGAGATCACGTGCCCTCCCGATCCGTCCAATAGAGTCGCGTTAAGCCTGTTAGCTGGCGACCTTGTCACGTGATCAGGGTCTTTCCCCCCCTCTTTCTCCGGGAAGGCGGATGCAGAGGTAAAGTGACAACAACGCTCACTTCCGCTTGGTTGAGAAGAACAGAGAGCGAGAGGAGGGAGGGAAGAAGGAAGGAAGGGACAAACAAGCGACCGAACGAGCAAGCAAGCGAGCAAGCAAGCATCGGCGGCCGTTGTCGCCGTGGTGATTGTCCTTCTGTCGTCAAGCTCCCTCAGCGCGGCCAGGTAAGTGGACGCGGCCTGGCCTTGGCCTTTTCCTTCTTTCTGTCTGGCGTTTGGGCTGAACGGGGGGAGGGAGGAGAAGGAGGCCTCGCTCTGCTTTTTAAATCTCTTGGGCCTCCTCTAAGCGGACGCCTTGCCCGTTTTTTCCTTCCCTCTGGCTCGCGCGGAACCGCCCGTGGGCTTTCCCCGAGGAGTGGGCTTTCCGCTTCAGGTAAGTTGCAGCGTTAGAGGGCCTCGAAAAAAGGGCGTTAAGTTGAAGGGGGTCAAAGAGCTTCTTGCCCACACTTGGCTAACAAACACACCGCGCGACCTTTTAGAGGAGCTGCTTCTGTTTTAATCGGCCTGCTTCCCCCCCCCCCCCCCGGTAACGGGGGGGGGGAGCTGAACGAGGAGGGCGATTATTTTGCTGGCTCGTATAGACAAGTAGTGAAATCCACATTTTTTTTTATTACCGGTTCTGTGGGCGTGGCTTGGTGGGCGTGGCAGGGGAAGGCTACTGCAAAATCCCCATTCCCACCTCACTCCAGGGGCCAGCCAGAGGTGGTATTTGCTGGTTCTCCAAACTACTCAAAATTTCCACTACCGGTTCTTCAGAACCTGCTGGATTTCACCCCTGATACAGACCTATCTAAAGCTGTAGGGTTAGGCTTTTGTACTTATTTGCACCCTATGTCTATCATTAAGTGTTACACCTTATGATTCTTGACGAATGTATCTTTTATGCACACTGAGAGCCTATAGAATAGAAGTTTATTGGCCAAGTGTGATTGGACACACAAGGAATTTGTCTTGGTGCATATGCTCTCAGTGTACATAAAAGGACAAGATACATTCATCAAGAATCATAAGGTACAACACTTAATGATAGTCATAGGGTACAAATAAGCAATCAAATCATATTAGGAAACAGTCAATATAAATTGCAAGGATACAAGCAACAAAGTTACAGTATGCACCAACACAAATTCCTTCTGTGTCCAATCACACTTGGCCAATAAAGAATTCTATTCTATCTTGCAGCAGTGACTTGGTTCACGCACCATCCTACACTTTTAGTCCGTTGCATAGGAAACTGGGATATTGCACTTTGTAAGCTCAGGTGGCTCAGTTAATGGAGGTGGCTCCCAAATACTTCCTTTGTGCTGCCTTTAAGCACTTTGAGATTGCTGGTTCTGTGCAACGTGACTTTCCTTTGATTCTGGGGTTTGAAAATGTAAGTCTTTTGCTATTCATGGTCAAAATGTAAGTCTTTCGCTATTCAGAGGCCCAATAATCTCATTCAGATTCTTAACGATCCCTAAAAGATGCTCATCCAAATAATGGGGATTTATGATGTCCTCAGTAAAGGAAATAAATTATATCTGGGAATTTCCTGATATCGTGTCAAAGATGATGAAATTATGGAACACCACCACTTGCAGAACACAAAACCACATTCCTGAAGTTTGAGTATTAAGGCAAAGGTACATTGCTTGACCTTGCCATTCTGAGTGTACAGATTGAAAAATATTTTGGATGGAAAATGGAACATTTTTAGCATCAATCAAGAGAAAATGTTGCCAAGTGTCGCCAGGCTCAAGGTTGACTCAGCCTTCCATCCTTTCTAAGGTAGGTAAATTGAGGACCCAGTTGTGGGGGCAATAAGCTGACTTTGTATAAATATACAAAAGGATGAAGGCTATTGCTTAGCGCATTGTAAGCCACCCTGAGTCTCCAGAGAAGGGCGGCATATAAATCAAATTTTTAAAAAAAGTGTAATTTAATACTCCATAAAATAAGGATTATTTGACTGGGTTCACACTATGTACAATATTGTTTGTTACTCAATGTATTGTACAAATCCAGGATATTAGGCTAATTCAGTAAATTATGGTTCTCTTAACTGGGATAAAATATTGTGCAAATATGGCCTTCCTGTTGTGAAAAGTATCTTTTAAAGTTCTGGCTACAGTTGAAAGTGATTTACTAAACTATGTTTGTTCAAATTAGGTATTTTAGCAAGAAAGCTGGATTTTAGCCCTGAAATACAGGGCTGTCATATCTGGACCACAAAATTCCAGATGGCTGCTAAATAGCAGCAGAGATTATTCTATATCTCCCTTATATCTTGTAATTTGTCTGGATATTTTAAACCAAGCTTTAACATCTCTGGTGAAGTTCAGAGAAATTCCTTGTCACATTCTTCTGCAGTGTTTTTAAAAGAACAGGTTTCTTTTATAAGAGTAAATCAGAACTAGATTTCTCAGACTAGGCTGAGAAAACAGGGAACATATGCATATTTTCAAGAGACTGAACCACCTGGTATCTCTACATTATATATTTGAGCTTCTTTAGAAAAGGAATGTATTTTAGAATCAAGAGTTGGAAGAGACCATCAGATCTGCCCAGTGCAACAACTTGAATCACAGCATCCTGAATTGTCCAGCTTCCACTTGAGAGCACCTCACTCTTTTGGGCAACTTTATTCTCTTATTGAGCTACTCTTACTATTAGAAAAGGGTTTTTTGTCTGACATTCAATTGGAATCAGTGTTCTGTGATTTAAATCCACTTTTATCTATTCTTTAGTTTGGAATGAAAGTGAACAAATCTTGAAATCCTGCCAGGAATCTCAATTGTTTTTTTGCAAAACTAAAGACAGTACACCAGCTTCTTCAACCTCTTTTTATAGGGTTTAGTTCTACTCTAATAATCATTGTTCTCTGCCTGAACCTGTTTCAATTTCTTTGAAACCTTTTTAAAGTGTCATTCCGAGAATTACACACACTTAAGATAGGGCCTGACTAAAGTCAAATAAACTAGAGCATTAGCCTCCAGTGATTTTGAAATTATCATCAGCATCTTTGATTCCTTTCACGTACAGCAATTATACTTAAGTCGAAACAGCCTAAAACTACTTGCCAAGAACTGCTGGAACTTTATTGCAGGATATATTACACATGGTCCTCAGTTACTGACCACTCATTCACAATTGGTCAAACTTACAATGGAGATAAACAAGTGCTACTTACAACTGGTCCTTGAAGTTCCAGCCATTGCAGTGCCCCCACAGTCACGTAATTGCAATTGGGGTGCTTGGCAACTGTAATTGCAATTGGGGTGCTTGGCAGCTCACATTTCTAACTGTTGCATATCTTACAGTAATTTGTGATTTACAACCTTCCCTGCCCACAAGCAGTCAATGGGGAAGCCAGCAGGAAATCATAAGTATCAGGCAGGAACAACCAGGCCCACACTTGAAGAATTGAATTAACTTTTATTGCTCAAGCTACACACACACACACACACACACACACACACACACACGATTCTTCTCAGACTAACAGTTTGCACATGGATCAGACTACATAAGATTTAATGGCATTCAAGAGGGCTCGGATTTCACCCTCTTGTGCCCATAAGGATTCTAGACTAAGTCCCCATTTGACTCCCCCCCCCCCCCGGCCAGTCTCCCTCCTACATAAGTCATGGTCACATGAGCTCCTTTTTTAACAACTTGCAGTGATTTGCTTAACAGTAACGAGGAACTGCCAGAACTACCATTGCCAAGTGGTGCATTCACACAACGTGCTTTACGTCTGCATTGCTTAGAGACATAAATTCTGATTGCAATTACTGTTATTAGGTGAGGACTATGTGTAATGGAATCTTGAAAGCGTGGTTGAATTTTGTTCTCATCCCCTTCTCCTTTTCATGGCTGAGTGCTGTTCACATAACTTCTCTTGCATTTCTTCTTCAGGGTTATCTTCATACTCTTCTACAATTATTGAACTGTTCTTATTGTTGGTCGCACCAGAAATTGTCTTTCTATCATTCAAAATCTTTATTCTGCGACTTTCACAGAAATGGTTTTTTTAATGTGACACTCTTCAAGTGTTTGAAAAGTGCTATCTTATCTCCCCTAAGCCATTTTTTTAAACTCTTAAGTATATACCCAGTTCTTTCAACCTCTTCTGATAAAGGAAAACTAAAAGGGCAGATATCAGGAAGTGATCCTTTCTTCATTAAACACATAGTTTCTGGGCATATGATCATGCCTTTTGTCCTGGCACCTGTTTCAGTTTCTTTTCATTCTTCTGAATACAACTATTTGAGATTGGATCTGACTAAAACAGAATAAAATTAAACTTCGCTTTTCGCAAGAAATTATACATGTTTCAACCTAAAATTGTGCTTGCAATCAGTTTCTATTCCAAGATTTTCTTGTGCTAATATTGTTAGTAAGACATTTCCCCATCTCACATCCATGCATTTGATTTTTAAAGGAAATAACTCTGAACTTGTCTCTTTTAAAATTTATGGTAACAGTGTAATTGTTTTATTTTATTTGAATTTTATTTTATTATGCTAATTTTGTTTCTGCTGATTTCTTATACATTCCTTGCACCTTTCAGCTTTCCTGCTAATATTTTTCTATATTTTAGTACCCATCTTCTTAAGCAAAATGATGCTGCCTACACTTTAAGAATATAAGCCAGAGGGCAGTTGATCCTGCTTAACTGTGTGCTCTTTGAATTACATGGGATTTTATCAGCTAATCAGTTAGCTAATGAGAAGAATGGTATAAGATTTAGAAATAGTTTTCTTAGTTGTCTTTTGTCAATCATTGGGAAAATAAAAATATGTTCTAGAACAGTGGTCCCCAACCTTTCCACCTTGGCCTTGTGTGTGTGTGAGAGAGAGAGTGAGAGTGGGGGTGTACGCGTCCTCCACTTGTGCGAATGGAGGCGGAGGGCACTTAAGTTCACACATAAAGTTCCACTCGTGTGAGCCCAAGTTCCCCACGTGCGCTTGTCCATTGCTTGCGCGGCCTGGTTTCGAACAAGCCATGGTCCGGTATGGGCCACGGCCCAGGGGTTGGGGACCTCTGTTCTAAAAGTTCTGCTTACACCAGAGTTTTTTGTGGTTGCTAAATATGGTGCCACTGTGATCAGAACAAAATTACTATTTAGTATAATAAATAATTTAAGGGATGTATAGGACATTGAACTTCCAGTGGGAAAAATGGAGGACTGAAGACAGCTTTGCTTTTAGCAGAGCCAATAACCACAGGAGAACAAGGTGCCAACAACCAGATCGGCATCTTGAAATTCCTGTCTGGATAAAGATGAGGTCCTGGGATTTCCCAGAAGTATTCCATACAGAAGCACCCTGTGAAGAGACCATAAAACAGCAGCCTCTGGCAAGTTTTATTGCTCTGGAAACTAAGGGAAAGTCAGCTTTGCTTAAGGCCTGGTTCCAGTTTTCTGGAAATCGCTTGTTAACTGGTTTTTTATATATTAAGAACCTTCAGAACAAAGTTTCATTACAATGGGTGATTCTCCTTCAGTTCTCAGCTAAAGAAATTTCATATGCATTTAAGGACTTGACTTTCTTTTTACTTTGAAATAAACAGCAAAAGGGTGATTAAACAATGATTTTTGGAAAATTATAAGCAAACTAAGGACCATATGCGTTGAAAATAATTTTAAAAATTAATTATAAGAATCCTTCCTGTGGGTTATTTAAAATCCCATTAAACATATATGAAGATTTTGAATCTAAAAGGTAAGAAATCTTCCTGTGGGAAAATGTGTGTGCGTTTTTTTTCCTCTCTGCACTTTTTCTTTTATATTTTCCTTGGTTTGTATTTGTTTGTTATCTCTATATCTGCCAATTTTAATATAAATTATTAAAATAAGGTGTTTATAGAACATTAATTGAACAGTGTGTTAAATATTGTGTTTAGGTATTTAATATGTTTAATAGAACTGAGCTACTTGGGGATTATCTTCTCCCAAGAACACCTGCCCATCCCACAGACTCACATATGGCAGGCATATTACAGGTTCCCACATTTAAACATTATCATCTTATGGAAGTTAGGAAACATGTTTTCAATGGCTGCCCTTGAATTCTAGAACAATCTACCTCTGATATATGAACTCTACTTGCCTTTAGGAAAGCCATTTAAAAAGCCTCTTTTTGATAATGGAATAACCAAGAGATTCCACTAAACACCATTCAAGTGCCAATAGGATGGTTTTTAGTGGAATCTCTTTTGGTTATTTTATTATCACATTTGGCTGCCATTTTACATGCTACAACGTAGTATGTTGCTCTTTTTTAAATGTATTTTTGATACTGTATACTTTTGTTTACGCTAACCAGAATCTAGAATCCCAGTTTGAGTTGGGTGGGCTTACAAATGCATTAAATAAATGTTTTTATATTGATGTAAGCTGCCTTGAGTCGCCATGTGTGGATAAGCGGCAATATAAAATTTCTAAAATAAATATATAAAATAAAATAGTATCAATATTGAAACGTATTTTTAAGAGATAATTGGTTCCATCAATTGAGAGAATTCAGTTTATGGTCATTATACTGTCTTCACATGTTTGTATATGCTTGCCTAATTCAAGCTGTTTCTTCAGACTCCTGTTACGTTCTGCCATAAAATAGTATATTCAAAGAAGTTATGCAGGCAGTATAGTATGATGGCTCTCCATATACCTCTTGATCCATTACTCGAGTTTCAGTATTGCTATCTTCTCATTTGGTATAGCCTGTTTCTAGGCTTCCTCCTGAGGGTGAGATGAGCAAGAATCTTTGTGCCACTTTTGGTCACAGCTAAGTCTAACCTAGGTTTAATAAGCAGCAAGCAAGAGCTATCTGGTTATATTTATCTTTCCCCATTCCTATCCTAGGTGTGGTGCCAACAATGATGATTAGTAGAGGACTAGCTATTGCCGCTGAAAAAATTCTATTTTTAGCTTTTCCATAACTGAGTGGCAGAGTAATTTCTTTGCCAGCATGTGTTCTTTTAGAATGATACAGCTGAGGCCATGGGTTTCCTCTTTCAGCACAGGAAGACAAAGCCAGATTCGGTAGAATTCCTAAGTGCATATTGAAGTGGGGAGGGAGGAGTTTCTCTCATGCCGAAAATGACAGAAGCAGATTTTAGCATTACTGGCTAACCTTGATATTTGGCATATGGTTTGTGTGGCTGAATTGCAGGTAGTTTTCAACTTACTACCACAATTGGAACCAGAATCTTCACCGCTAAGTCATGCAGCCATTAAATGAGTGTGCCTTTATGACATTTTTTTGCAAGGGTCATTAAGTGAATCTGGCTTCCCCATTGACTTTGCCAAAGTCCTCTGGGAAGATCACAAATGGTGATCACATAACCCTGGGACTCTGCAACCATCATAAATACATGCTGGTTGCCAAGCAACCAAATTTTGATTACATGACTCCTGGGATGCTATTAGTGGTTGTAAGTGTGAGGACCAGTCATAAGTCTTTTTTCCAGTACCATTGTAACTTTGAACAGTCGTTGAGTGAATGGTTGTAAGTCGAGGCCTACCCGTAACACATTTGAGATTTAATAACTAAAGTTGGAAAAATGTGAATAATGCCAGCTGCAATAAAGATATCTGAGGACAACATTTTTCTGTGGGAGCCCTTCTTCACATATGTTTCATTATGCTGTCAATTTATATTAGCTCAGGGGCTTGATACAGGCAGGCAGATCTTTGAATTGTGATGTTTTGGAGAGCCATTCAGGAAGATCAAAACAGAATGTCTGATGGTTCTCCAAAACAGGTTTTGGAGACATCCAGCAGGTTTTGCTAATGTTTCATGTCTCACTTTATTGCTCACTTAAGATGGAATCACCATTAAACAGGCAAAATTCTTGTGTTTGGCAGACGAAGGTTCGTTCTTTGACAAGCTCTTTCTCTCTTTTATCAAGTTCTGTCATGACTTTGTCAGAATCCTTCATCTAAGCATAAACATATCTTTCTCTGTTTTATTGTAATTATAGTCTTTGTTCCTGAATTGTAACCTATGCATGCTTCTTTAAAGGCAGACTTAAAGATGTATAACTCAAGAGTTGCAAATGGATCCTGCAATCAGACTAAGAAATTTTATTTTATTTTTGTATACTGCAGCCAGAAGTTTATTAAACTAATCATTGTTTTTCTTTTTCAGGAAAAATGTTAGCTGCTGATGAATTTTCGGTGAGTGGTCCATTCTGTCAGTCTCATAAAGTAAACAGTTTGTAATAAATAATGAAAAGAATTGAGATGTTTTTATAAAGAAAGTTTCACTAGTATGTTAAATAGGTAAAAAGTGAGTTTTTATGAGTTTTCATAAAGTGAGTTTTTATAAGCACTATAAATAAGCAAGGGTGTACCCAAAATGGAAAATGCTCTTTGTTTCAAATCAGAAACAAATTATCACATTTTGGAAGTTCTGCTGAAGCTGTAGGTCAGCTTAGCGCAAAGACAATTTGGAATACAGGTAGTCCTTGGTTAATGACTACTCATTCAGGTAATCAAAAGAGTAACAGATCCATTCTCCCAACAACACACACACATCCTTTTCAACAACTATCCTTCTCTTTCTCCCTCCCTGTCTCCTCCCCAAAGATTTATTTATTTATATTTCATATTTCTAAACTGCCCATCTCCCTCAGTAAATGTTACTGATGTTCCAGCACAGTACAGTATCCCACCAACTTGCCTTTCCGGCTCACCTCTGAGCTTCTCATTGCCTTCCATCCCTGCCTTCAACCACTGCTGCCACTGAACTAGTCTATGTAGCTGTTCCTTACTGAGAGGGTCTCAGGATCAGGCTCCCAGCATGGCATATTCCACAGGCCTGTTCATACACAAACACACGCACGCACACGCACACACATGCACCTCTACACACACACACACACACACACACACACACACACACACACACACACACTGTTGTTCTTTCATTGTCTCCAGTTTAAATAGTAGATGAGTAAGAAGTTATTGGTCAGGCATTAGTCACAAATTCCCACTGATATTTTGTTTTCCCAGCTGTCCGATGCTCTACCGGATAGTTCTCCTGCCAAGAGTTCCTCAGTGGGCAATACGAAGCCACCTCAACAGCCCAGCCAGCCTCCACAAGCATGGCCAACCTCCAGTCCCTGGAATAATGCACCAAGTGCTCCTCCTGCAGCTCCATCCGGTTTGCCTCCTAGCTCATCAACTTCCAACGTGCCTTTTGGACCGCCACCAACAGGAATGTATCCTTCCCTCCCCCCTGGGGCACCAGTTCCTTTTCCTCCTCCTGGTTCTACTTGTCCTCCAGGTGCTCCATATCCACCCCCTGGTCCTGCCCCACCAGGGCAATATCCACCACCAAACATGCCCTTCCCAGAGATTCCAAGGCCATATGGGGGTCCCACCGAACCAGGCGCTCCCCCTGCTGCTGTTGGAGCATGGGGATCCATGCCCACTGGAGGGTGGGCAGCCTCAGTTGGGGGACAGTATCCTGCACCTAGTGTGCCATATCCACCTCCAGGGCCATATTCCACTCCCTCTCAGACTCCAGGGGCGGCTCCTACAGTGCCATGGGGAGCTGTCCCCCCAGGACCATGGGGACCTTCGCCTCCTGCCCCATTTCCTCCGCCAACAGGATCCTATCCAGCTCCAGGGCTGTACCCAACGCCACCTAATCCTTACCAAGTGCCACCTGCGCCTGCTGGAGCACCATCCATACCTGGTGGCCCTCATGTAAGTAAGATTTTTCCTAGTTACGGTGCAACTAAACTTCAGAGGCAAAGGAGTCTAGTAATCATACTCGTTTGAAATAGTTATTTTTTATTGCTATGGCTTCCAAGTGTTTCTGTGTGAATTTGTCTAAGGAGCCTTGGTTGGTTGCAAAATGTGTCTAGGGTGCACATTGTTTATATGGCAAATTAAACTTCATAATTGCCCCATACCATAACTTGAAACTGGACAATTTCCAGGGAAAGGCCAATATCTTTAAATAAGATGGCTTCCCCTGCTGTTTAGAAATTTTCAGAAAGTTCTAAAATGATTGAGTTTGACACAAATGTAAAATAATTGGTCCTACCATCAGGTTTAGCAAACTCAAAACTCTTAAATTGTGAGGATATTACCTTCATCCCCTTAGAAAAGGAATAATTATAGGGCACTGTATAACATATATTTAAAATAAATTATTAATCTCATTGCATCTCCACCAACAATGACTTACTCAAGCCTTTCCTACCATATAAGAGTAGTGGAGCCCAGTTAGTTCGCAATAACACCTTTTGTTAATAAAATGTCATGTAAGAAACTTTTGGTATTGATGTTGATGGTTGTATCCAATGTCCAGGTAAAATTGCAAACACAAATTCTTTGTGCAGTTTACAGTAACCCTTAAAGTTTGTATGTAAAATATCTGTTGGTTTAGGGAAAAAAGGGAAAGATCAGGCATGGCTCTTGTTGGTAAGAAGGTTGGAATTTCCATACAGATTCTAGTCTCTTCACATGGTGTGTTGTCTGGCTAGAAGATAATGTATGCCACAGAGAATGCCACTGTATGAGACAGTGGCATTCTCTGGCCAACAGATGCCATTTAAAAGCATGCCATTTTATTGGCTTAGTCCTTGACCTATGACCACACTTGAGCCCAGAATTTCCAATGATATAACAACACAATTGTTAAGTGAATCATTGCAATTCTAAAGATAGTAACACGACTGTTAAGTGAATCTGGTTTCCTCATTGACTTTGCTTGTCAAAAGGTTACAAAAGGTGATCACACGACCCCGGGACACTGCAAGCATCATAAATACATGCCAGTTGCCAGTGTTGATCACGTGACCATGGAGATGCTGCAGTGGGAATAATTGTGAAAATCAGTCATGTTACTTTTTTCAGTACCATTGTAACTGCCACTAAATGAATGGTTGTAAGTCGATGAGTACTTGTGTCCATTTTCCACAAGCCATTCTGTCACAAGGAGTGGCGTGGTGGCTCAGCGGTTAAGATGCTGGGCTTGTCAGCTTGAAAGCTGGCAGCCCAGGTTCAAGACCGAAGCGCCACACGACAGGGGTAAGCTCCCATCGTCTCCCCAGCTCCTGCCAACCTAGCGGTTCAAAAGCATGCAAATGCAAGGAGATAAATAGGTACCACTTTGGTGGGAAGGTAACATTCCCAATGCTCAATGACGTCATGCGGCGGAAATGACTTTGGATAGCACTGGCTCAATGGCCTTGAAACAGGGATGAACACTGCCCCCTATAGTCGGCAACAACTAGCAGAATAAAATCCGCAGAGACTCCTTATCTTTTATCTTTATTCTGTCACAAGTATCAAATGTTTCTGGGCCAATCATTGCTGTTTCCCCTTGTCAGAATTTGATGTTATTCATTTTGACCCCATGCAAGTGGCATCAGGAAGCTGCAGGTGGGTCATATAAAATGGCAATACATATCTGACAAATTCTAACTTTTCTATTTCATTATTTTTAAGTAAAAATATTTGATCTTGGAATAATAGAAACTGATTGTTTTCATGTTTATCTTTTTTTTTCAGCCCTACCGTTGAACTTGTGGCAGGCTGATGAGGTACTGCCTCCCTACCTATTTACACAGAAAAGTTTTTAGTAATCTTTTGGAGTCTTGAAGAGCCTACCTGTGTTCTGCCAGCCCATTTGTGGTGTGAGGGAGCACTCCTCCAACGCTTATTTTGTGTGAGATGGATTAGGATAAACAAGTTGACTGCCCCAGCTCTCTAATCCTTACTCTAGTCAAGATTTTATCAAGTGACATTAGCCTAATGAGTAAGGACTAACCCTGGATCAATACTACAACTGTTTCTTAATTGCGGATTTAGAGGATTGACCTGATTGACCGACCACATCTAATTTAAATAATTTCAGTTATCTGGAGAAGCTTCTGAAGAAATGAGCTAGGCACCTTTCATCAAATTGAAGAGACGCAAAGAACATTAATTCAAAGCAGTTCTCAGTATCAGACTTGATTTGTTCTATTTGAGAAAACCTTTGTAGAGATGAACACCTGATATTTGATGCTTAGTTCATACAACAAACAACCTTGGGGAGCATCAGTTTGGTTTAGATGTTCAGGTAGTTCAAATAGATATTTCTGACATGAGTTTTCCAGCTCTATCAGCCATCATATTTGTTGTGAGCCATCTAAAAATAATCTGCTTTTAAGTCTGAAGCTAAAACATTTAGCTTGAGCGAGCCTCAAAACCATTTGAAGAGTTTGAGTTTTGTGTGCTGCAAAGCAAAATTTCTTTTAAAAAGTTCTTGCAAGAAGGGGTGGGAATGTAATCAGTATAATCTCTTCTCTGGCAGCTTCAGAGTCTTTGAAAATTAATTTGAAAACTTTACTTTCATGTGAACATCTGGTCTCGGGATAACAAACTAAACAGGAAAGTTTCTCTACTTGAGGATGTCTCTTAATGCTCATTAGATTATTGCAATGTAATTAGTTAAAATGTATTTGATTAATATTGGCAGTAGATGCAACAATCTAGATGTACAGTTTTCTCACTTCTAGATGAACACCAAATGGAGGAAATATATTGGACTCATTTATCACAGTTCACAAAGAATACAACATTTCATCACTGTCTTACTGATAAGTCCATGTTCTAACAGTTGACAACTTCCTTCTGTGGTCTCCAGAAATTTGCTTAACACAGATGTCTAGCATTTATCATAAATTGGCTATTTCCAAGCTTTCTTTAGGAAATAACTTTGCAGGAGAGATTTTTAGGGAGTCCATATTCTTCCTAAGAAATAATGAACTAGCTTAATTTAGTAAGAATGGATATGACTTAGGCATGTGTCCTGTAGTGTTTGTGGAAATATTTATTTCCTCAAATCAAATGAATTTGAAAAGGCTCTTCATTTTCTTCCCCATCCTTTCTTGTCCTAGTTTAGTAAGCATTTCCCATCCCCCACCTGCATTGGTTTCATGTTATCTTCCTGTCTTTCCTCAACCGTCGGCTTCTCTTGAAGGATATTGCATCTTCCCATTAACTTTAAACCACAGAAATTTGTATGGGTGATGAGTTTAGAATTCCAGTGATCTTTGGAAATAGCAGATAATTTAGCTTAAGAACTGCAGTTTGGCAAGTTTCACAAGCTAAATTATTAGCTATTTTCAGGTAGCATTGATTGAGAGCTCTAGTGCTAATGAACTTTGAAGTGACATCCCATTTAACTTTGTATTATCTAAAGCAGTTATTTGAGGATAGTACGTTTTTCTTCATTGTAGGGGCATCCCATTTTCTCATTTTGAGTACACGGTTGATAAACATATCTGTCTCTGATGACATCTTCCTCCTCCATATGCTCCAGTTTATACTGCATGATTGGCTTTAAAAAGGAATCCACTATAATGTAGAAATATTAAAGTGAAGTATTGAGAAGTTTTGATTGTGGAAAGATACTAAGAAGCTTTGTCAGAATTCCAGTTCAGATTTGAAAAATTTAGATATTTTCTATGTTGGCTTACAGTGATGAAGACTAAATATGACTGACAATAAAAGTATACAAGTTTGTGATACTTTGCAGAACACTCGAGGTGAATGCAATTATATGAAATAAATGTGGATCAAAATATAGAATAGGTTAGTATTAATTCTTCTGTGTTCTGCCTACTCTATAGAAACATTAAATTTTACAAACTCCTGAAGAATGTAAAATTTTTCTAAGATAATACTTTTTTTTGCTAAATCTTAAAATCAAGCTAATAGAATAGATTTGCCCTAATACATGTTGATTTCTCCCCATCCTAAAGCTAAATTATGATAAAAACACGATTTTGTGTTTCTAGCTATCAGTGCAATCCCAGTACAAACCTACTCAGAAGGAAGCCCTATTACCTTCAGTGACTTTTATGTAAGCGGTTGTAGGGTTGGAACTATGTCAGACTGGGACCCTGCTTAAACTAGAAGTAAAAGTATTCTGGCAGGACTTCCTCCATGTTATAACTGCTGGTGTGATTGGCTGAGATTCTGGGCAGTGCACCTGAGAAAGGTTGTCAGCCGTTGCTCCAAATAAGGGATTGTAGCATAAGAAAGCTGCATATCATTCAGATTCTGCTGCATAAGGGTTGGGAAGGCAGAAAAGACTCCATTAATAGGTCTGCAGCAGCATTTGTGCCATCCTTCGTTGCTGGAAGTTTTGCCTATTAGCTGTTTGCTTGATTTTTCTTGTGGCATAATTCCACATTCAATGCCTTGTGGCCCCCTTTCCACAGAAATACTCCACGAACATCTTTTCTGCCTACAAAAGACTCTGTCAGCCTTTAATTTACCTTTGATGCATCACTTAGATGCTGGAGGCAAAGAGGACTGTAAAAAACTGCAGAGGCAGCAAAATGATGATATGCAGCTGACACAGTTCTGTCCTTGTATCAAGATATTTGAGGCTAGCCTGTAAGTTGCATATGAGTGATGACATCATCCTGTGCACGTTATTTGCCTTTCCACGCCCCCTATAACCTGGCTGGAAATCCTTTAGTGTATTGTCCCAGAGAATATATATATATACACACACAGGAAGAAAGGACAAGATACAATCAGATTTTTAAAACGGGCAAGCTCTGTGGTTCAAAGCCCAACTAAAACAAAGCTTGCAAGTCTTGATGGGGGTTCAGCATCTCTGCTTATCTTATTCCTTCATGTTAAGAAGTTTTTTCCTTGCCATATGGAGATACTATTCCTCCAACAGTGGAAGAAGACTCCCTTTCAGAAAGCAATTGTAGTTTGACGCTGTGTAGTAAAACCTTTTTAACCCTTCTGTCTCATGTGTGAGTGATTTGGGGCATGATGCTTGTTATGCAATGAAATTTGTATTGTTTCTCTATTGTGTTCCTTGTGAGCTAAAACTGCTGAGAAGTTTGGGGTGGGTTGTTCGGCTTGTGTTTCTGGGATGTTTATTTAACTGCTTTTGTTTATGACATGGAATTATTAAGCAATCACACTTTTGAAGTATAGACCATATCACCTGCTGCTGTATTTTTTTCTTTATAGATGACAAATATTTGCTGTATGATGGTAGCGAAGAGGCTTTAAATACAGGATTTGATATTTTTTGAAAATGGTGTTACTTTTTGTATACACTTAGACATTTAGCATATTTCAAGATGAGACACCACACACAGTACACTTCATAAAAGTTTTATTTCAGCTATTTGCCACTACAACAAGAGCTTTTACCGGTACTTGCAAAGTGATTTTAATACACTTTGATTGTTGACACATCACAAAAGATTCTGGGTAATTTATTTTGATTAGATGCTAAGAAAACTGTAAGATCTTTACTACCCTTCTTACTTTAATTCATTATGTTTCAGAGGGTGGAGGAGACAGAGATGGGTAATAATATAGGGGCATCCAATTCAAATTGACAAATTCAATTTTGCCAATTCAATAAAAGATGTAACTTTGGACTATAAAATGGGGGAACATCAAAACATTTGAAGCTGTTTTAGTTTTTGACAGCACAAGGACAAAATAGATCCTTTAGAGCAAAATTTAGTCAGAAAATTTCATGGGTGTTTCTACTATTTCTAGAAATATTCTCCCTATACTACATCTTTTTAGGGGAGGAATAATAGGAATCAGTACAGCTCCAGATTATCCCTCAATCCTATAGTAAATTTGTGCTGTACCAATACAAAAATGTTCAATTTAAGCACTTTCTCTGATCCCTAACAATTAAAAAAAAATAGCGTTTCTACTAAAGATTAAGGAATGGGCTATTTCCTCTTCTAGTTTGAACAATTCTGGAAATTGCTGAACCTCTCTGGGACAACATGATCTGGAATGGTGAATTTGCATACTGTAGAGTTAACTCTTAAATTAGAACATGGAACATAAGCTGAATTAAAAAAATCCCTTGAATTAGTCATAACCTGATCCCACAAGTTCTCAGAGAAAAAAAGGGATCAGGATGGGTCGGAACCAGCATTCAAGAAAGGTAGAGCCCATGCCTATCCAAGGCAAGATAACCCTGACCTTAACCAAGGATCTCCTCCATCCAGCTCCACCAATGCATCGGCATTAATGAGGCAGCAACCAAAAGCACAATGTCGGTGGCCTACAGCCAACGAGAGTCAGTAGAGTTAAATCTCGAAGGAGGCCAGGGCAGATGAGAAACAGCTGTGCTTGGGTGGAGCTTGGAGCTGAGGCTGTTTAGGAAACAACAGGCAGAGATTTTCTGAAATGATACATACTTTCTGAATATTGAAGAAATATTTCTTCACTGACTTCTTCCTGAAATCACGACCTTTGAGCAGTTTCAGACTGCTGCCTGCTTGGTATGTCTAACATATACAAACTCTAGGTCATAAATGTGGATTTATGATGAGGGATAGGCCTGATAATTTTTGACATTTGTCAACAACAGATAAGCATCTCTGGGAAGCCTGAACACGCAGGACGAAAAAAATGCTGCTGTGGAGATGGGCCTGTGTCAGGAACCCCATCTGGTTGGCTGCCAGGATTTATAGTAGCACTGTGGTTTTAATTGGTGCATTATTTATTCTATGTGCAGTACGAGACTTATTTCTCCCGCACACAAGCAAACTTTTAAGGATAGTAGAACTAAGATTGTGACTGGCCTAAAATCCCCCAATGAGTCTATGTTTAATGGTGATGTTGAGCAGCATCTCAACATCAGTAGCATATAGAACAAAAGTAATTATGAGTTGTATGCACATCAGCTCTGGAAAGCAGCGCTACTTACACTTGAGTTGCTAAAATCAAGCCGCCAACTTAAAATATATTGGATATGCTAAAATGAGCTAAATAAGTTTCTATAGATTCCAGTTCTATCAGATGTGTAACAATGTTTTACTATTATTTATTGCTCACACATCATTCTACAATCCAACAGGAGACTCGGTGATTTTATGATAATATACAAACAGCTAAAATATCCACAGTCCATTTAACAATGCTTAATAAAACGCAAAGAAATAGGCATAACATTCAAACACTCTTCCGAAGGATGTTTTCAGCTGCTTCTAGGGGGCAGCTAAAGTTGGGAGTTAATCTAAAATGTACAAGGAGGCTATTTTAGAGGATTGGTGCTGTAGAAAAGCAGTACTTCCAAACTTCCCAAAAACAAATTCTCTGTTCCTCCTAAAACTGAGGAACCACTAGCTACTTTCTCCAACAAGATCAAATTGATCAGGGCCAGTTCCAGTGTGCAAATGGTCCTGAAGACAACCTGGGCCAAACTGTAAAAGGCTTTATAAGTTAAAGCCGGTTTTTAAAACCCTACAGGAGTCTAGAGGAAGCCAATCCAGGGGCAGGTATTCCCATAGCAAAAGTATCATCTGCTCCCACCAGCAACTATGGGATAATATAGTGTAATTCTGGGTGGTCTTTAAAGGGAGCCCCATGGAAAATGCACTGCAACAGTCCAGTAATATTCTAGTAGCATTACATCCATGAATTTATTGTACTCTTTATAAACGTCAACTGATTAACATAAATCTACAGGTAGATCTTAAGATCACAGTTGGGACCAGAATTTCCATTGCTAAGCAAGGTGAGTGAATCATTCCTGATTTTATAACCTTTTTTGTCATGTTTAAGAGAATCATAGTAGTTATAAAGTGAACCAATGCAGTCATTAAATGAATCCAACTTCCCATTGACTGCTTGTTTGAAGCTGGCTGAAAAGGTTGCAAATGATAATCATATGACCTTGGAATGTTGTCTCCATTGTAAATAGATGTTGGTTGCCAAGCAGCTGAATTTTAATCACATGATCATGGGGGTGCTGCAATAGTCTTAAGGGTGACTTCGTAACTTCAGTGTAACTGTTAACTAAACATGGTTGTAAAGCGAGGACTATCTTGCCTTTTAAACTACAAGTGCAGTTTCATGGTTCAGCCAGAAGAGAGCAGTGTTTTTCAACAAACTTCCCACTTCACTCATTCTGCAGACTTGGAGATAATCTGAAAAGATGTCCCACAGAAGAGTATTAATATAGTTCTTCATTCTATGTCCGGCACATGGAAATATAAATCAGATTCCTAATAGCAAGAAGAGTCTGAAACTGCAACTAGTTTCCCTGTGGGACAATGGTTTATTTTCATTGAAAATATTCAATACAAGCTGGGCAGCCATCTGGCCTTAATTTGGATTCCAACAATGGGCGAGGACTTTGATTGAATGGCTTAGAGATGGTTCCTTCCAGTGATGCAACTGCATGAATTCCCAGCCAGTAAGGCCAAAAGCTGGAGATCAGGAGAAACTGTCCCAACACAGCTGGCGAGCACAAGGTGGGAAAGGATGGAGTAATATGTTAAATAAAAAGTCCTTAAGGCAACTCAGTCAAACTGAAGCGAATCATTATTTTTCCAGCTGCAATCTTTTTAACAGAGTTGGAAGGGACCTTGGAGATCTTCTAGTCCAGCCCTCTACTCAAGCAGGAGACTCTGTACCCGTGATTGGGGGGGAGGCTGTTTTTGCCCTCCCCAAGCTCCAAGAAAGCCTCTGGAGCCTGGGGAGGGCGAAAAACGGGCCTACCTGGCCCAATGTGCCATCACGTGCCAAAAGCAGGGGGTGGCAGGGCACATTGAATTATGCGTGTGGGCACACATGTGTGTGACCACGCTCCCCCCACTTTTGGCACGTGATGGCAAAAAGGTTAGCCATCACTGCTCTATACCATTTCAGGCAAATGGTTGTCCAATCTCTTCTTAAAAACCTCCAGTGGTAGAGCACCCACAACTTCTGAAGGCAAGCTGTATCATGATTAATTGATCTGACTGTCAGAAAATTTCTCATTTCTATGTTGGTTCTCTCCTTTATTAGTTTCCATCCATTGCCTCTTGTTCTGCCTTCAGGTGCTTTGGAGAATAGGTTCACCCCTTCTTTTTTGTGGCAACGCTTTAGATATTGGAACACTGCTATCATGTCACCCCTAGTCCTTCTTTTCATTAAATTAGACATACCCAGTTCCTGCAACTGTTCTTCATATGTTTCAGCCTCCAGTCCCCTACTCTTCTTCGTTGCTCTTCTCTATACTCGTTCTAGAGTCTCAATATCTTTTTTATATTGTGGCAACCAAAACTGGACACAAGATTCCAAATGTGGTCTTGTCTCAGACAAATTTCTATTTCCCTTTTGCCTATAGAGCCAGCCATGACCCCATAGGAATCTGTCAACAGCCAATAGAATATTAAAGGACATGTTCTTGCACAGGAACAGGAAGCTCAAATTCAAAGCCCAAAGAAGGTTTAAAAACCCACCCCCTCTCAACTCCATTTTGTCAGCTGTCCAGAATCACATGTGATTGGTGGTTCTGCTTCATCAATAAACCCTTTTTTCCAATCAGCCTCCAGGTTTCTAGTGTCTTTCTCCCAGCTTGGAACTGAACCAGACGGATTTTCCTTCCAACACTGTCTTCACAGAGCTGCTGGATAGGTTCCATAATATGTGTTTTAAGACTGGGAAAGGAATTTTAATTGCTTCAAAGTGTGACTCATAGCTGTTTTTGTGGAATAAGTTGTGTCATCAATTCATTCTGAGGTTGTGGCCTATGACTTGGAGCCATGTGATTCCAATAGATAGGGTACTCACATGAGCAGATTGCACCAACAATAAGCTCTTCTGGCTAGTTGCGCTCCTTTGGAGCATCCATGTGATTCTGATGCTTGTAGAAAAGGTGGGAGGGCTTGCATCACAAGTTGCTACCTTCCACCCCATTGAATGCCACAGAGCAGCTCTTGTCTCAGAAGAGCTGCCTCTGACTTAAACCAGGACTAAAAACTCATGAGCAGATGAGAACTGAAGATCAATAGGTAAAATGAGAAGACGAAACATATACCCCAGTCTTACCCACTATATGCCTGCTGAAAGGTTAGTAATTCTGAATTTTTGTTCCTGGACATATTAAGAAACAGGCACAAATTTTAAATAACTATGAGCAGCCCAGTATGGAAAGGTGGTTTGGGATGAAGAAATTATGCATTACTGCAGGCAGGAATAGGTCACTGGCTCCCAGTTCTTTATTTGCTCAAAAACTTGAATAAAAATTCAATCAGTATACACACATGAAAGAAATGATAGCTAGTTGATCCCCCAAATAAAGTTCATCCCAGGTCAGTTGGGTTTGAAGAGCAGATGGCAGTCATGGCTAGGAGGGCCTTTGCACAACTTCGTGTTTTATGCCACTTGCATCCATTCCTAGATCAAGTGGATCTACTCGGGGAATCATTCACATTCCTACTCACTTCCCAGATGGACTACTACAATGTAATCCACATGGGGTTGTCCTTGAAGAGCATTTGAAAGCTTCAACTGGTGCATAATGCAGTAGCACAGGCAGTTACACTATGCGTTTCTAGTGGAGCTGCATTGGTTACCAGTATGTTTCTGGGTCCACTTTAAAGTGTCGTTTTGACCTTTAAAATCTGTAGCTGCCCAGACTCGTTTGCAGAGATGGGTGACTATAGAAATCAAATGAATGATCGACCAACCAACCTTGCATGGCATGGCATGGAACTAGGTTCTTTGAAGAATTTGTCTCTCTGATTACATCTACCCAACCCAACAGATCCAGCAGAGAGGACATCTGTGGATCCCATTGCCTAGGGAGTTATACTTGGTGAGCTCTAGGTAAAGAATCTGCTTTGGTGTCCTCTTTAGGGAGCATACTCCCCCCCCCCCCAAGTGAGGCTGACTTCATCACTTTTGACTTTCTGAAGATCCATCAAAACCTGGTTTTGCCATCAGATATGTGGACTCCATAGGTTTGGTGAATTATTGAGGTGACCACTATTATTAATATCTCTTCAGCTAATATTTCTTTTTTTTTTTAGTTTTGTTTTCAGAGCTTTTTAATGTTTTAATAATAATTGTTTAGTATTAACTGTTTTAGCTTTGTTCTACTCTGCACAGTCACTTGTTGTAAGATGTATGGTTATATAAATTTGATAAATATATCATATTTCTCTGAATAGCACAATATTCAAGTGGTGAAATCCAAATTTTTTTACTACCGGTTCTGTGGGTGTGGCTTGGTGGGTGTGGCAGGAGAAGGATACTGCAAAATCCCCATTCCCTCCTCACTCCTGGGGGAAGGATATTGCAAAATCTCCATTCCCACCCCACTCTGGGGCCAGCCAGAGGTGGTATTTGCCGGTATTCCAAACTACTCAAAATTTCTGCTACTGGTTCTCCGAACTGCTCAAAATTTCCACTACCGGTTCTCCAGAACCTGTCAGAACCTGCTGGATTTCACCCTTGCATATTCCCTTTGAGAGCATAATCCTTCTCAATCAATAATGTTTTATTCAATACTATTGAATGAAGACAATGATAAACCAGGAAGTACAGGGATGTGAACCTTTGTGCCTAAGAAATTATATTTCTGCACTTTCAGCATAGTGTATCTTGTAAGACATACCAACATTGGCTTCTGCTTCATGCTTCCTTTTCATGCAAGATGTTGCCAACCTAATAAGACCTATAAACATGCACAAAAAGGCAAGGGGTGCACCTCCCAGTATATGCTTGGCTGCCATGATCATACATCTGTTTCTTCTGGAGTCTGTTCTCTGTGAGATGACATAGAATTGCAAATGAGCTCATCTTTATTGATAACAGTTTTAGAATCTGAAATCAATAGGACTCTCAAATGTTCCGTTAAGGCTAAATCTGCAAAAAAGTTAATGTTCCACCCAGAGGGATGGCCAACAAAGGAAGGAGAAGGGATGAAAAAAGTCAAGACAGTGGCTGCAATTCAGAGGTGGGTTTCAGCAGGTTCTGACCAGTTCTGGAAAACCGGTAGCAGAAATTTTGAGTAGTTCAGAGAACCGGTAGTAAAAATTCTGACTGGCCCGCCTCCATCAATAGATGGGGAGGCCCCCTCTGCCTCCCAAGTCACAGCTGATCGGGAGGAAATGGGGATTTTGCAGTAACCTTCCCCTGCCATGCCCACTAAGCCACGCCCACCAAACCATGCCACGCCCACAGAACCTGTAGTAAAACAATTTGAAACACCACCACTGCTGCAGTTGTGTGATCAAAGTCCTACAACGTAAGATTAAATGGTCATTGGATTTTTTTCATAACTCCCCCAATTGGTGCCCCAATGACAATGTCCAGATTTACACAAACCACAATCCGTAAGCTATGGTTTACAAACCACATTGGTATGTAAATTTATGACATTAAACCATGAAGCGGCCTGTTTAATTTGGTTTGGCCACAGTTTTGTGTCTTTTGTCTCCTGTCTCCATCAAAATATTAGCATAGTACCAGCTATGTTAATAAATGGACTTCACCATCTCCCCTACTTGCTGCTGTGGCAACATCATAGGAATAAAAAACAAGTGATGAATAATTCTTGTGCGGGTCTCCATAGAAATAAGCCCACCCTTCCCCTTGTTTTTCACAAGACAAACATTTACCCTAATCGCAATAGCCAGAACCTTGGGTTTATAACTGTGAGAGCAGGCTTCCCTGTGGCTGCACACATTGGATATGGTTGATAAGGGTTATGCTTGCCTTTGGTTCATATTGCTACATAGGGAGGAAGTCTTGGGGGGCGGGATATTTCTGCAGCTGTGGCCTGGTTCACTAATGCAATAAACGGAACATAGTTCCTTTTGTTGTGTCAACAGCCAATTGTGTATATTTAATATACCATGATTCATTAAGTCATGTCTTATGCAATGTAGGAGCTTAATTTTGTATAAGAGAGATGTATTAACAGAATAACAAAATAACAGTTGGAAGGGACCTTGGAGGTCTTCTAGTCTAACCCCCTGCTCAGGCAGGAAACTCTACATCAGGGGTGTCACATTCACATCTTCACAGTGGCATCATGTGACGTATTGGGGCTTCCCCCCCTTTGCTAAACTGGGCTTGGGTGTGGTCAGCATGTGACTCATCCAGCCCACAGGCTGGGAGTTTGATAGCCCTGCCCTACCCCATTTCAGACAAATGTAAGAGCCTTGGTGACGCAGCAGACTAAAGCTCTGTTAGGTAACACCAGCTGCCTGCAATTACTGCAAGTTCAAATCTCACCAGGCTCAAGGTTGACTCAGCCTTCCATCCTTTCGAGGTAGGTAAAATGAGGACCCGGTTTGTGGGGGCAATAAGCTGACTTTGTATAAAAAAGAACACTGCTTAGGGGGGGACCGAAAGCCCTTTTAAGCAGGTATATGCAAAAGTATGAAGGCTATTGCTTAACGCATTGTAAGCCGCCCTGAGTCTGCGGAAAAGGGCGGCATATAAATCGAACCAATAAATAAATAAATAAATAAATAGTTGTTCAATCTCTTAAAAACTTCCAGTTTTTTACAACTTCTGGAGGCAAGCTGTTTTGCTGATTAATTGTTTTAACCGTCAGGAAATTTCTTAGTTCTAGGTTGTTTCTCTCCTTGATTAGTTTCCATCCATTGCTTCTTGTCCTGCCCTCAGGTGCTTTGGAGAAGAGGTTGACTCCCTCTTTTATGGCAAGCCCTTAGATATTGGAAAACTACTATCACGTCACCTCTGGTCCTTCTTAAGGGACATACCCAATTCCAGCAACAGTTCTGAGTTTTCCAACAGTGGCAATTTCCAAGTGTGTAGACTTCAGTCCCCAGAATTCCACAACCAGCATGGCTGTTGAAGTCCACACTAGAAGTTGCCAAGGTTGAAAGACATGGGGTAAACTCTTTCAATCTTGGTGTAGGAATTATTGAATAAAACTATTCTATAGCTAAAGAAAATGTTGTTTTCTGGGTTTCCATTTCCCATATGCTTCATGAAAAACTGGAACTGATAATATGTAACAGAGAGAGAGAGAGGGAGGGAGGGAGATGGAGAGATCCAAAAAACTGTCTTGAGTTTTGAAAGTGCTATGTGGCTGACAACTCCTTAGTGACAATTCTCCACCCTGGCTTTCATGACAATAAGGCTGTGGTTGCCTAATCTGATTACTTTGTGTTTAAAAATACCAGTGTATTGTGCAATCTCAAACTCCGATCTACTTTTATAAGCTGTGATTTTTTTAAAAAATGGGTGTGTCTTGTGTAAACACAGCTCATCTTTGAATGATAAAGACCTAATCAACTGGACCTACTTTGGCCCTATTGAATAGGAATATCTGGGTGAAACCACACTTGTTAGATTCCTGCTTTCTTAACAACTGTTTAAGAAAGGTTTTTTTTTTTCTTTTTGACAAAACCAGCCTAATATTTGCTCACTTTTTCAACCTGATTCTTGAGTAAAGAGGGAAGCTTTTCCAGAAAGTCCATTTGCAGGCCAATAAAAATCCCTTGCTAATGGCTTGGGGAGACAGGCCATCCCCAGTGTCATCATGGAAGATGCTCCTTCCATTGCAGGACTGCAAATGGTCAGCACTGCTCCATGAGGTCCTTAAGACCAATCAGAAAGGAGGTCTGAGCCTTTACCTTCCTCTCTAAGTCTTAGTCGATTTCCAAATTTCATAACTTTAGAGAGAGAGGAAGAACCTGCATTTATTAGAAATGGCATCCATATCTCAATTTTCTCTTTCTCAGGAGATAGGGTTGTGTGATTCTCCCTCACAAACACAAACCCCAAGCCCCATATATCTTCACAACTCTGCGAAGTGGTACTGACAGAATATTTGTAATTTAGGGTTGAACTGTCCCTGGTGCTCTCTGAGCTTGGCAGCTTCCTCCCAGACCTTTCTTTCATTACCCGATGCACTGATGATGTTACCTACTCTGGTAATGAAAGGTCTGCAAGAAACCCATCAACCTCAAAGAGCATCAAGTGGGTCTGATGCCAAAGTATGTTTCTCCCAAAACGCCTATTCGGGGAGTGTCGCTGGCAAGTCAGGCTGAGCGGGGGAGCCGGCCGTGGCAAGTCAGGCTGCCGCTGGAGCGGAAAGGACGGGGCGGTCCGGAGACGGGCCCACGCGTATTTGAGCTGCTCCGACGTCCCGCCCAGCCTGAGTCGTTCTCTTGCCGCTCCGCCGAGTAAACCCAGGGTCTCCAGCGGGATCTGGCCCGGTAAGTCGCGGCGGGAAGGCGAGGACGGGGCAACTTTTGGCGGGCGGGCGAGCGGGGTGGGGAGGACGCTGCCCTCATCCTTCGCCTTGCGCAATAGGAAGGAAGGAAGGAAGGAAGGTCTTGTGCTTCGCCCGCCAACATTTTCGTTGGGCGAGAAAAACAAAACAAAAAAAAAGCGGAGCCCGCACTTGTGGAGAAAAACGCTAGGAAGGAAAAGCTGCATGTCTCTGGATGGGAGGCGTTCGTCCCGCCTTTTGGGAAGCCGAGTGGAAAAGTTGGCTCTTCTTTCCCGCCCCGCCCAAAGCAGCAATTTGGGTGAGGGTGGATTTCCCAGCTGGAGCCTCCAGCCAGGGCGGGTCGGAAAGGAGAAGCCACTCAAAAGGGGCGAGCGCGTGACTCGGGAGCCTCTCCTTTGAGATAAAGAGCCTTGGTGGCGCAGCGGACTAAAGTGCTGCTAAGTAGCACTTAGCTGCCAGCTGCCTGCAATTACTGTGAGTTTGAATCTCACCAGGCTCAAGGTTGACTCAGCCTTCCATCCTTTCTAAGGTAGGTAAAATGAGGACCCGGTTTGTGGGGGCAATAAGCTGACTTTGTATATATATATATAAAAAAAGAACACCGCTTTGTGGGGGGCGGGCGAAAGCCCTACTAAGCAGGTATATACAAAAAGTATGAAGGCTATTGCTTAATGCATTGTAAGCCGCCCTGATTCTCCGGAGAAGGGCGGCATATAAATCGAACCAATAAATAAATAAATAATACATAGGCATGAATACAGGTAGTCTTTGATTTATAACGGTTCGTTTAGTGACCGTACTTACAACGGTCCTGAAAAAAAGTGACTTATGACCAGTTTTCACCCTTATCCCCCATGGTCACAGGATCCAAATTCAGACGCTTGGCAACTAACTCATATTTTTGATGTTTTGTTTTTTTTTTAAATTTGATTTATATGCCGCCCTTCTCCGGAGACTCAGGGCGGCTTACAATGCGTTAAGCAATAGCCTTCATACTTTTGTATATTTATACAAAGTCAGCTTATTGCCCCCACAAACTGGGTCCTCATTTAACCTACCTTAGAAAGGATGGAAGGCTGAGTCAACCTTGAGCCTGGTAAAATTCGAACCTGCAGTAATTGCAGGCAGCTGTGTTAATAACAGGGTGCTTTAAACCACTGTACTACCAAGGCTCTGTTGTGGGATCGTCCCCCTGCCCCCGGGGTCATGTGATCCCCTTTTGTGACCTTCTGACAAGTAAAGTCAATGGGGAAGCCAGATTCGTTTAACAACCATGTTACTGACTTAACAGCTGCGGTGATTCTCTTTACAACGGTGGCAGGCAAGGTTGTAAAATGAGGCAAAACTCACTTAACAAATGGTTCGCTTAACAAAGATGTTCGGCTCAATTGTGGCCGTAAGTCGAGGACTACTTGTAGAGTACTGCATCCAGTTTTGGTCACCACACTATCAAAAAGATGTTGAGAAAAAGTGCAGAGGAGAGCAACCAGGATGATTAGGGGACTGGAGATTAAAACATATGAAGAATGGTTGCAGGAACTGGGCATGGCTAGTCTGGTGAAGAGAAGAGAAGAGAAGGTCCAGGGGAGACATGATAGCAGTGTTGCAATATTTGAGGGGCTGCCACAGAGATGAAGGGGTCAAGCTATTTTCCAAAGCATCTGAAGGCCAGACAAGGAATAATGGATGGAAACTGAACAAGGGGAGGTTCAACCTAGAAATGACAGTAGGAACAATCAACCAATGGAACAGAAGTTGCCTTCAGAAGTTGTGGAGCTTCATCACTTGAGACTTTCAAGAAAAGATTGGACTGCCATTTGTCGGAAATAGTGTAGGGTCTCCTGCTTGAGGAGGGGGAAGGGTTGGACTAGATGACATATAAACTCCCTTCCAACTCTGTTAATCTGTTAAAGTCTGTAAATAAATGTTAATGATCAACAGTAATAATGGTAATAATTCAGAATTCTTTGCACCACCAACAGTACGTAGCTGACGCCTAAAGTTATGGCAAACTTTACTGAGGGAGGCAAACTGTTTGTAGCTGAATTTAGCACATCCTACCATTAAAGAGGTCCTATCCCTCACCCCAGCCAAATGCAGATATCTTCACACATGATCTCAATAGGCAGCCTTCATATGGGAGAAGCCAGACCTTTAAACATCCTAGTCCTCACTCATTCAAGGTATTCCTTCTTTTCAGTCTTGATAGTGAGGGTCATTCAACAGTCATAGAATCCTACAATTGGAAAGGACCTCAGAGGTCATCCAATCCAACCCCCTTCACACTGCAGGGTTTACTTTCCTATCCCTGGTAGATGACTATCCAGGATGTTTGAAAAAAATCTGGTGAAAGGGGGAATATGATATCTTCCATATCATAACCTATTCTACTCAAATAGGTAGAATTTCTGTCAAGGATTTCTTCCTAATTTCTAATCTGTACCATAACATCTTGACATCATGTTCCATTTCAGTATTACAGTATTTAAATAGCATCCGGTAACTGCAAAATTCCTGCACTTATCAACTTCCTGAAATCAGCCACCCGTGTATAAGATCAGGCCAGGAAAGGCTTAGATGCAGAATTTGAAAGTTGTCATCATCAAATAGCAAAAACAGGGAGTAATTTCAATCTCTACCTACTGTGCAGAAATCAAGTGACAAATGGGGTCTTTGCCCCAAGCTGTTTCAACAAGTTGGGGGTAGCCCAAGAATAAAACAGTACTTTAGGTTCCCTATCCCCGAGTTTCAGGAAAGAAAACTGAAGTTGTGAGGGGACCCTTACCACTTACTCTATTTTTGAGGAAGGCAGGTCAAGGTTCTAGCAAATGGGTCTGTTTCCCTGAGCTTGGTTCTTTTCTTTCAGATGCTTCTTTACCTAAACTAGGTAACTTCTTCAGTATTAATGATGTTACCTAGTTTGAGTAATGAAATGTGCAAGTAAACAACTAAGATCAGAAAGCACCAAGGACCTATCATTTCAACCCTGAGTTACAGATATTCTCCTTTATTGGTTCTTCTTTCCATGGCCGGGCTGGGCCTCTTTGGAAAAGAAAGGACTTTTGCTTATGGTCAGGTATTATGTCCCCTGACAATTACTGCTGTGTGCTACTTGATCACCATTCTCCTATGACACACTTACCCAGGTCAGTAGGAGGAGGGTGAGTGTGATACAGCAACACCACAAAAAAGTCAGTCAACTGAATCAGCTAACTCTGAGGATTAGATTTAGTGCAGAATAAATTCAGCCATGCATAGGATTATCTAATGCTACAGTCAGTTGTGTTGTATAAGCAGCTGGGGGGTAGAAGAAAGCAAGATTTTCCATCATAGAATTCAATGTGGAGATCTAGCAATGAAGAACACGCCTGCGGTCATTGTATACAGTGTCCACATTGTGGCTACTGTTGCCTGGTTGTCCAATGAAGAAGGAGCTAGCGATGCAAGGAAGTGTGCCAGGGCTCATGAGGTATCAGAGCAAATGGGTGAGGACATGGTAATTCTAAAATGCTAGTTAGTGTGATTAAGTGCGGCTAGAACCACCAGGAAGAGGATTTGATTGAGATAATGGCTGACTGGTCTAAGGATACGGTGGGAACGGATGACTGTTTCGTCTCTTGGTTTAACCAGATTACCGTAAATGTGTTGCCACTGAAAATGTAACATGGTAGATTTCAAAAATCCCCATCTCTCAAAGATTGGCATTGATGATAACCACTTGATGAATTACAGATGCTTTAAGATACCATTTTTCAATTGATAGCATGACTTGCACAAATGGGACTCAGAAGTAGCTTTGGTGGGATACGGATCGAGCCTTAATGAAGTATTTAAATGTTACTATGAATGAATATCTGGATAATAAAATAACAGTAAACGTATCACATCCTTTTTCTTGAAAAGAGTGGGGTTATTTTTGCTATTTTGATGCAAAACACCCATTGTTTTCCCAGCCTTCGATTTCTTGAGACCATCGATTGCTCTATCAAAGGCTGAGAAAACAATGGGGGGGGGTTTCAAAACAATCAAAACTCCACCCCTTTTTAATGTATGTCACAATGAACATAAAAAGGACTTCATTTATGCAGTAATAGCTGGCATCTTGGTCCTCCCTTCTGATGTCAGTCGGTTGCTTTGTGCAATCTTATCCTTAAAGAGCAATTTGTGAAGCATTTTGAGCCAAATTTAGAAGGACATGAGGATGTCCCCTTTATGTTCTTAAAGGATATGGGAAAAAACAGAGGAAGATCATCCTTTTCAACATGTACTAAGCTTTTCATTTTTAACTGAGTTATCTGGATTAAATCATCTAGATTGAGGCATGCCGATACTATATTTCAATGGAACCGAATCCCACAATGTTTATTTTTCAAGATGTTCAACATGTTTGAGTCTACACTGGAACCCTCAAATAGAGGCATCCAAACTTGTTAAACTGGTTTAGAACATGTTTGAGGACAAGTAACTTCTATCCTAATTGATTTGGCTTAGCTGCTTGGAATGCTTGATACGTAGCTGCCACCTCACAATTTAAATATTTTTGTTTCTTCTGTCACTGAAATTTGCCCAGAAAGAGTAGGATTCTCTTTCAACTCTCAAATGAGAAGGTGGATTAAATGACCTGGATTCATTGAGACTATATGAAGCATTTCAGTGCCAAATTTTGAGTATTTTTATATCTCTAGTAAATTCCAACCTTGATATAGTCAGATGGACAAAGAAATACATAGTTTTTCATAGAATTATTGATGTACTTACTTCTAAGATTAGTCAATCATCAATCAGTTGTCTGAGAGAGACACCCTGAATATCAGTAAATACTGTTTGCTTGTGATTTAGGCTGTTTGTTGAAGGCTCTAGTCCTTTTCTTGTTACCTAATTTTTAAACCAGCACAGCCCACAAGAATGCTAAAACCAGAGTATATATATGCTAAATTTTATTAAATGATTTTTAGCACAATGAAAAGCATAAGAGAAAATAAATATAATAAAGAATAGCAAATAGTGGAAAAAGGGAAGGAAAGATGCACTGTATGCTAAATGATATTGGCATTTAATATTTTCCTTTTACCCCATCCCAAGCAATCTTCCTAAACAGTTGTTGTCATTACCGTATTTTTCACATTATAAGATGCTTTAGAGGAAGAAAATAAGAAAAACGATCTGCCTCTGCCTCCCAGCATCCATCCGGTATTCATCTGGCTAGCGTCCTTGCAGCAAACAGCAAACTGGTCAGCTTCAGCACGTTATCGCAACTCCAGCACGTGGATCATCAGGGCTCCGCTCTGTTATGCCCACTACTGGTCAACTGAGCGGAATTGTTGCTAGCGCTGGGGAACTGTGGAGCCTTTGCTGCTGAGCAGCTGATTGACGGTTGAATCCGCCTACTGGAATACCGCTGATCAGCTGTTCTAGGCAGCAGGCATTGCTGCTGTTGGCTGCAGATTGCCGCCACTGATCGCTGCTGCCCGTTCGCCCTTGCCGTTCGCCCTATTTGAAGCCCATTCGGTGATCGGCAGTGGCAAACAGGTGGCTGCAAACAGGTGATGGTGATCGGTGATGAGTGACGGTGGTGAATGGCGGCAGTGGCTGCAGTGAATGGATGATCCCCGCTGCCTAGAACGGCTGATCGGCGGTATTCTGGGAGGCCGATCCAATTGCTAATCAGCTGATTGGCAGTGAATGCTCCAGTTTTAACCAGCGCATCTCTGAAAGATTTTTGCTTCTTTCTCTTCCTCTTGGCATCCAGTTAAAGGAATCTGCAAAAAACCTCAGCAGATTTACAATCAACAATAAAATCCAGATACCACAATAAATCTTGGTTTCACTTATGTGCTAGAATGCCACAGGGAATAAAGAGGTCTTGGTCACTGGGTGCTGCAAATTAGCTTCCGTTAAGGAATAGGCAGTGGTGGAATTCAAATTTTTTTACTACTGGTTCTGTGGGTGTGGCTTGGGTATGGTGTGGCTTGGTGGGCGTGGCTTGGTGGGTGTGGCAGGGGAAGGATACTGCAAAATCTCCATTCCCACCCTACTCCTGGGGGAAGGATATTGCAAAATCTCCATTCCCACCCTCTTCTGGGGCCAGCCAGAGGTGGCATTTGCTGGTTCTCCGAACTGCTCAAAATTTCTGCTACCAGTTCTCCAGAACTTGTCAGAACCTGCTAAATTTCACCCCTGGGAATAAGTCATGGTAGGGATGGACTCAGAGAAAGCTTTCCTGTGAGGGTGTTTTTTCAAGCGGGTTATCCTCCACTACAGAATTATGCTTTTTTTTATTAAGCACTAGAACAAAATCTGTGAACACCAGCCAACAATACTGGTAGATTACTGGTAGATTTTAAAATTCATTCACTCATTTAGTCCTTCCATACCAATGAGATCCTCCTTTTCATTGGCCAAAGGGCAATCTACTCTAAGAGATGTCTCGTGGAATATAAAAAGAGGACTTCAGACTTTTGTTCCCTCCAACTCTCTTTTGGTAGGTAGTGCTGATTTAGTATCTCCTCATCATCCTTCATCAATATTTAATGGTTTGTCATTGAGTAGTCTGGGTAGATAAACTGTCCTTTGTCATGACCATGATAGCATGGGGCACAACTGTATTATGTTCAAAAATTTCCTACTCCATCACATTTTGGCTTGGAACATCTTGTAATGTCCTCTGTTTCCATTTATAGTACTTTTGCACAATCATTATTTTTACATTTCAGATATTTTTGTCAGCAAATATAAGTTCTCATGTCTTTACTGTCTGGCCATTAGTTCATTCTCTAAGTGTTAATATTTAGGCAAGCTAGCATGTGAAAAAGCAGCATCAGATGGGTAGAAGGACAACAAGCAGAGTGGGAGTGTTTGCCTTTTGGCTCTGTGCAACTGGGAACATGTTTAAAAGTTTGCAGTGGCTTTTGCTAGAGGCAAACATGTAAACAGCAAACTGTTTGGGTCTTTATGGTGAGAAACACTACTTTCAAGCTGCAAAACATTTTTTTTAAATAAATGACAAGGACCATAAAGGACATCATGAAACACATTTTCCATTCTTGTTCTAATTAGGATCATTTGGACCAGTGCCTCTTCTGGAGTTGTTTTTAAGAACTGTGCCCAAGGCAGCAATAGAGATTACGCCACACAAGAAAGCATTTTTGAAACTACTTAGCACATGCTATTGGCTATTGTTAAGTGTGAGGTTGGTTGCTGTGACATAGAAGGGGAACGATCATTGCAGCATCCCAATGGTCACATGATCAAAATTCAGATGCTTGGCAACCGACTCATATTTAAGACGATTGCAGTGACCCAGGGTCATGTGATCACCTTTTTTGACCTTCTGACAAGCAAAGTCAATGGGAAAACCAGTTTCACTTAACAACAGTGTTACTACCTTAACAACTGCAGTGATTCACTTAACAACTGTGGCAAGAAAGGACGTAAATGTGATAAAATTCACTTAACAAATGTCTCACTTAGCAACAGAAATTTTGAGCTGAATTGAGGTCATAGGTTGAGGATTACCTGTGCTTAGTATTGATGCATTGCTTTACAGAGACCTTCCTCCTTCTTTCTTCCCTCCCTCCCTCCCTTCCTTCCTTCCTTCTTCCCTCCCTCCCTCCCTCCCAAAATAAAACAGTAACTGGAATCTGATGTTCATTATAGGAGGTGTTTACAGGCATACTGAATCCAGAGAAGTCATAGAACATTCCAGTAAGAATGTTTGTTGTTTAGGTGCCATTAGATTCTTTGTTTTTATCTTTCCCAGGCTGGCTTGAGTATTAGCCCATTTGTATGTCTTATTGAATTAATTCAGGACAAGATTTATAACAGTGATACAATTTATATTATGTGATTGATAAAACCTGCTTCCTTGTAATAGAGAGAACACAGAGAGAAGGATTTTTGAATCCAAACTCTTGGTGTGGGAATGCATGACTCATATTTGCACAGCGCATTTACTTGACACAACACAATCAATGTCAGAGTATTTTCTAAAGAGGCTGCTATTACAAATTCCCTGAAAACACAAAGTTTGCTTGTGTATAAGTGTGCTTTTGAAGCTTTCTGCGGTATCTGAGGTTTGTATGCCACACGAGCTTCAGACACCAGCCAATGGATTGATCTCTCCCAACAAACAATTCTGTTTCTGTTATAGAAACCATAATATGTTTTAGGACAGTTTTCATTGTTCATTGCAAGATGAGTCAACACCATGCTTGTAAAAAGGAAACGGTACTGGTAATTCATTTGGATTGCTCAGTGCAAAGTTTTGACATTGGGCTGCTTTTGGAATCAGACTTCTTCAGAAATCTATTTTATTGTTTTTTTTAATTAAGTCTACCACAAAACCTCCTCCATTCTACTTTTCTTTCATTTATCCTTTGGCTTTCGTCAGCTTGAGGCCATTCATTTGGGGCTGAGGATTCTTAGTTCCACTCCTGAGGCATTTGGAAGGCAACAAGTGGCTGAAGAAATACAGAGCAAGCAAAAGACACTTGAAAATCTTCCTTTTTCTGCATTAAAAGTTGACTAGAGGTCCAGCCAATCTATCTGTAAAAGGGGAACTTAGTTTTTGCTCCTCAAGGCTTATTATAGTTACCTCCCACACCCACCACACACACAATGAGGAAGATAGAAAAAAATTCCTCTTCCAAATTGTGCTTTTTTAATATGTGTTTTAATGTATTTTGTACATTGGGCTCATCTAACTGAAATTGCCTCCACTGGAAACTCTGGTGGACCACATGAGAGCCATTTTGGTCTAGTGGTTAAGGCATTAGGCTAGAAACCAGGAGATCGTGAGTTCTAGTCCCACTTTAGGCATGAAAACTGGCTGGGTGACTTTGGGCCAGGCAATCTATCACAGCTCAATCCACCACAGAGGAAAAATTAGAGGAAGGAGTATGTTTGCTACCTAGCATTATTTTTAAAAATGTAAAATGGGATATAAATCAATCAAAATTAAAAAACTTACTGCAGGACATATGAGCCTTTTCAGATAATTAAAACCATTTTACAATTCTGTACATCCTTGTGAAAGCCCCCTCCAACAAACCGTACATTACATTATTTTTTAAAAAATCTGGAAATAAAAATGTTCAGAAACTGATGAAATCTCATGCAAGAATATAAATTTGATTTATAGATATGATTAGCTCATGAGATTTGGAGCATTTAACTGGCTTTTGAATGGTTTTCAGTTTTGATTTTATTTGTTTGAAGTCCTGGAGCACCCTCTACTGACATCGCAGGCTTCACTGTGTCCAGGGAAATGTTACTTATCTCTTTTCTTCCCTCTATATAATTAGATAGAAATAATAATAATAATAATAATAACAACAACAACAACAACAACAAAAACAAAAAAACTATATTCCATGATCCATGAAAAATAATCCAAAAATCAACAGTCAGGTAATAACTTTACTGAGACCAATCAAAATGTACAAGATTTGAATTTTTATCTCATCATCAGCCTGTGCTTAAATGGCCAAAACAGAGTAAGAAATGTGTGTTTAGGTACAACACAAAATCACACATTCTTTTCCAGCAAGATAGTCATTGGTTACATAGATTGGATTGCCTTAATTTTTCCGTTCTATAAAAGGCACTCAAATATATTCTCAGTTTCACGTTTTTTCTCTGTCTTACACTGAAGTTCTACCAAGATCTGGGCTGGACCCCAGAGTCTCTAAAAAAATCCTGAGCTCTGCTAATTTGCCTGTTGTCTCTTTTGTTTCAGGAAGATGTCTGACGGATTTTCGGTAAGTCTGAAGAAAATGGTGCTTTTTAATGCCACATTTACTTTTCCTTTTGTTTTTAATTATTATTAAATTTATGCCCCAGTTTTCAGATTGTCTTCTAGACCCTCACTCTATTGTCATTTAAAGAAGAGGGATTAATAAATTGTCATGGATCATGCAGCTTTCTGAGAAAGCCAAAAAATGCCAAAAATTCAGCAAAGATATTGCTACTGGCTGGGAAAAAGGGTAACAAATTCCTTATTTTCCTCACAGCTATCAGATGCCTTGTCAGGCTCCAACAATCCTAATCCAAATATGCAACCGAATCCTTGGGGGAATCAGCCTGGTGCCTTCTCAGGTTATCCCGGAGCACCAGGCGCATATCCCGGAGCACCAGGCGCATTTTCCGGAGCACCAGGCGCATTTCCCGGAGCACCAGGTGCATTTCCTGGAGCACCAGGCGCATATTCAGGAGCACCAGGAGCATTTCCCAGCACACCAGGCACATATCCCGGAGCACCAGGCACATGCCCAGGAGGAATAGCAGCACCAGGAGCATTCTTTGGAGGCCCACCAGGGCCTGGGACATTTTCAAACACACCAGGAATGGTTCCACCAGGGGCCTCAGGAATGTATCCTGTTCCTGGGCAGCCCCCAAGTGACAGAGGAGCACAGCCAACTGCACCACAAAGTGGAGCTGGAGGATTTTCTGGTCCATTGGTGAGAAAAATATGTTCATGTTTCTGATTTGTGCATGGCAAGGTATCTGCATTTTTTTCAGTTCTTGATTAAACATTTCTCTTTTTTAAATTGGTAAGATTATCAATGGTTATCTGGTTAAATATGGTTAAATTTGGTCTTATTGGTAAGACCAAAATTAAACTCTGAATGTTTGGTGGCTGTTCAAATATTTCACTTCGAGAACTTTTGGCTCCAAACTGAAGGTCTCAAAGTCTAGTCAATTAGACGCAGATTGAACATCAGTGATGATTTATTGTAAATGCATTAAATGACACTCAAGCCCAACACTTAGAAAGGAATATGACAGGACGGTCAGGCTCCCAAAACCAAGAAAGACATGCTGAGCGTCTTCTGAGCAGTTTCCTTTGTTGTTCCTCACCCATAGACAGAGACAGAAATTTTGCTCAACAAAGCAAACTACTTGCACCGTTAAGCATAGTCTGAGAACTCCTAGGGAGAAGATGTCTTAATTTTTTCTTCCCACATAAACTGTCAGGAGCAAGAAACCAGGAGTCAAGATAGTGTTCAAAAGCGTTTATTCCATGCAACCTATACATAAGAATCGGACCTACTAATGGTCAAGGTGAACTGGTGCCAGATAAGAGTCAACAGACTTCAATGTGGGGACTGGATTTAGGTCTCTTTTGGGGGCGTTAGGGACTTCAGACTGATGATACATTTGACCCTGCCCTCAGCCTCCATCTGATCATCTCCTACATAAACTAAACTTTGCTGTCTCTTGCTCTTCCCCACTTCCTAGGAATCAAGATCACAGGACAGAGATATAAACTAGAGGCAGAATAACTTGGAGAAAGCCTTTATCTGAGACCAAGAGGCCAGAAAGAAAAGGAGTTCAGAAATAACTTTACAAAAAAGGGGTTGGTGATGAGAGGAGATATACCATATTTTTCGGAGTATAAGACGCACCTTAGTTTTTGGGGAGGAAGAGAGGGAAAAAATTCTGCCTACCTAGTATTCATTTGGCTAGCATCCTTAGTCTTTCATCTTCAGCACGTTAGTTTGCTGGTTTTATCCCCTAGTTAGGGATAAAATCAGCTTCTAAAGCACAGCTGATTGTTGGAGAGAGAAGCAATGAGAAAAGCAGGCGAAGCAGCGTGGAAGATCGCTTCATTCACTAGCGCCTCGTTAGGGCTGAAAAAAAGCTTCAAAAAAGCTTTTTCGGAGTATAAAATGCACCCAAATTTTCAGCCTCTTTTTGTGGGGGGGAGTACGTCTTATACTCCGAAAGGTATTTGTAATAAAAAGAAAGCCAAAATTCAAAACAGGCTACAGCATTACATTTTGTTGGACCGTGTGCTCTTCAATTTTGTTAATTGGTTTGGTTTTATTTTTTATTTTTTTTATTTTTAATTTGATTTATATGCCGCCCTTCTCCGGAGACTCAGGGTGGCTTACAATGCGCTAAGCAATAGCCTTCATACTTTTGTATAGTTATACAAAGTCAGCTTATTACCCCCACAACTGGGTCCTCAAAAAATTGGTTTGATTTGATGTAATCTGTTTTTGTCTTCAGAAAGTCCCTTGTGAGCTACCCCTTTCTTCAGGACTTGTGCCTCGCTTGTTAATAACTATGACTGGGACAGTGAATCCAAGGCCGAACAGGTAACAAGGCAGGGGTGATGGGGTGGTGGGTGATATAGTGAGCCGGTTTCTTACAGGACACTGTTGGGTTTATTGCGGGATGGATTGCCCTTTGGCATCCATTACTTGGGGATGGGGTTTAGGAGGACCAAATTAAACCAAGGATGCATTAGGATTTGTGTGTGTGTGTGTGTTATAAGATGATGGTCATAATCAAAACCCTCCCCTTTATGATATGTATTGAGACCTTTCTCCAAAAGTGTAGCCAGTGGGACATAATGGGTAAAGTGATGGAAAAGGATTAGGAACAATACTTCACCGGCTTGCTATTGTAGGAAAAAAGATGGATCTAAGATAAAAAGCAGGATAAAAAGCAGGATATAAAGGGGGGCACATTTTGACTCAATCAATTTGGAGGGTTCTGGAGGCTGCAAAAAGAATGCTGAAGGCTTACATGCAGTCTCTCCCCCCTCCTCCACCCCCCTTTGCAGCCCTGGATTAAATGGGCAATTTAATTAAAATTGAAATTAATTGAAAGTTAGTCCTTGTCTTGCATCACCCACTTCTTTGTCTTAACTCTGAGCATACCCCTGGCATGTCACTCCAAGGTCAAGTGAGGTCAGTGGTCCAAAAGACATTTGGTGTATTTGCTATGGCTAGAGCTGCTGGAGTTTATGTAATGCCTGAAGATGCCTCCCTTGGGCCTTCCTGGTACCCCATCCCATCCCATCCCATCCCATCCCTTCCCACTTCACCTTATTATTGTTGCTGTTGTTATTTTAAATGCCATGCTGGTAGGGTGCAAAGCAAGTTGCCAGCCTGTAATTGTAAGGATACCTCTAAGGATTGGCTGTCCTCTAGTACTTAAGTCTGGGATTGTGTCCACCTGCCCAGAAAACTCTTGACTTGCTTCAAATACTCAGAAGATAAATAGGAGACATTGTAATTGACTATTCTTCCTATAACCCACACCTACCCCACTCCCCTCTTTAGCTTCTGGTTTTATTAAGCCTCTGTGATTTTAACTTTCTAAGAATGTGTATGGAACCAAAATGGATATAAAAGTATGATTAGAAATCAAGTTTATATATGAGAGGAGTGCTTTGCTTTACAGCCCACAAAGTTCTCATTTAAAGTTTTAATAGTAAAATAAAATAGCCTGATGATGCCCTTGGCAACCGGGGGGGTACCACACTGCAGATCCAAGTTTTCAAGTTAATAATTAATTTGATGAATGTAATAAATAGAGAAGCTTTGTTTTATAAGCTCCCTGTAGAACATTGGTCTATAGAGATTCTCAGTCATCCAGGTCATGGTTGTCCCCGAGGTGGGTTTTTTTTTCTTTCTTTTAAGAGGCAACTGGACTTTCTGGTTTTTCTTTGAAGATGTTGTGCTTCTCATCCAAGAAATTTCTTCAGCTGACTGGATGGTGGGGAATGGAAGGATTTATATGCCTTGCAGACAGCTGGTCATTTGCATTGCATAGAACATTGGGATAACAATTTGTGTGTCCTCATTTCTCGCAGATTTCAAGTAGATTTCAAGAAAGGCGATGACATTGCTTTCCACTTTAATCCTCGCTTCAATGAGAACAACATGAAGGTGATTGTATGCAATAGCAAGATTCAAAATGTCTGGGGGAAGGAAGATCGGACGGCACCCAGGTTTCCTTTTGAGGCTGGCAAACCTTTTAAGGTAAAGTTTTTGCGTTGGGTGTCCTTTTGATAGCTAAGAATTAACTTGATTGCCTGGAAGTTATTTATGTGAATATTGCAAGGACAGTTTAATTTACCTGATTCCATTTCTATAATTCTGTTTCTGGATCTTGTGTTCACAACGTTTGAGACCACGCCAGTCAGAATCCCCAGCAATACCCAAACTGAGTAGGAATTTTAGGAGTTGGGAGTTGTGATTGCATTTGAACAATATGCTATGCTTTACTGTTAATTTTGGTGTGTATCTATATAGTAGGATATTGTACAAGTCTAAATTATTTGATAAGTATATGGTTCAATTTATTATACAGAAAATGGCTCAATCACTAACCATTTTAAGTGAGCCCTGTGAATGCATCTAATCCTGCTGCCTAAAGCAGGATGGAGAATTGGTTCTGATATTTGGGTTGCAAATCAGATGACCTCAAACGATTAGTAGGAAGCTTCTCCCTATCCCCAGTGGGATGCTCTCTGACACCCTCATTTTTCTGCATAGGAAGCAGAGCATCGTCATTCCCAGTGTATACTCCAACATAGAGGCAAGCATAAAGGTTCTTTGAAGGTTACCAGAAAGTGATAACGACTAGACTTAAAATGAGAGTAGAATGCAACAGAACATTGTGTCAATTCAGTTGAATTGAGTTCCATAAGTTTTTGTCAGTATGATTTGATTGCACTAGTCTGACAGAGCAGAAAGTTTTTGTGGCCAAGAGTGCGCTTAAAAATATGTATTCTAACCAACGAAGTGTATGTTTTTTGAAAAAAACCACACACCCAAAACCCTGTGATGCTGAATTTAGCATTGCTCTTTTTTGAGGCTCTTGAGGCTGAAAGGGGGCACTTTCCCCACCACATTTCTTGGTTTCATACAATATTTGTGGTGATTTTTTTATGTAAGCATGACAAGCACAAGATGTTAGCTCTGCAAGTCCATAGTGCCCAGTGCAAAAAAAGCAAGATTCAGGTTGCATGAATCGATGGTGTTTATGTCATTCTTATTTATGACTTTTTAGGAATGTTTACATCTGTCCTTTTACAGATTCAGATTCTCTGTGAAGCAGATCAACTGAAGGTAGCTGTTGATGACGCTCATCTCATGCAGTACAAGCACCGTATTAAAGACCTGCAGCATATCACCAAGCTGTCTGTTTCTGGTGATGTCACCATCACCAGTGTCATGCCTTTCATGATCTAAGCCAAGCCTTTGGCCCATTGCAACCTAGTGCTCAATATACCTGTAAAACTGGTTGTTTTTTTCTAAAAAATAATAATGATATATTAAATAGACTATATTGGATAGTAACTAATAAATAAAACTCTTAAAGACTACAAGTCTTGTGTACAGGTAGTTTTGCTCAGAATGATAGTTGTAAGCCATTGTAGTCATAAATTTAGTCATCATGTGACTGGACCGGATTTTTTCCCAAACATTTTTTTTTGCAATGGTTGTTAAGCAAATCAATTTTACCCAAGTCCATGTCTTAAAGTTGCCGAGATTGAGAAACATGAATTAGCGCATAGGGCACACCTGTTCTGATGCTAAGAGTATCAAGAACATTCACCAGTCTCCAAGAAAGTTATCAAAGGCATATGCCTCAATCTCTTGAATTGCTGCTTTTCATATTGGAAAGATACACAAGTGCACTAAATTATGGATCGCTTCAGGCTTAGAATGCTGTGTGAAATTAGTGGTTTGTTGATCAAGGTTTATAGCTGAAATAGATAACTGGTTGGCCAGGTATCCCTCTCTTCCCATCGAAACCCTATTTTGGGATCCTCAGAATATTGTCAGGAAATTTGATAGGAAAATGGATGATTTTCAGGCCATTTTATACAAAAATTAGACTCAAAACATGGGACTTAGGTAAGGATTTTGATTTAAATTCATAAAAGCCAACATTTTTCATCCCTTTCATTCAGTGATATTAATATACAGTATCAGCAGGCATGCCCTGTAACTCTTAGAGGCTTAGTATTTGGTTTATAAGTTAGTATTGCTAGCACCCAGCCAAATTACAGGTGGTCCTTAATTTACCATTCATTCAGTGACCTTTTGCAGTTATGACGATGCTGAATGGTGGTTTCAAATGGTCCTTGGAATTATGGCTGTCCCAGAAACCCTGTGGCCATGATCTGAGTGCTAGGCAACCCATTCACACTTACCACTTGTTGCGAAGCGCCCTACAATCATGATTGCCATTTGCAATCTTCCCTCCTGGCTTTCTCAGAAAGACAGTGGGGATATTGATAGAAAAGATCACAAGTTGCTTGGATAAGTCCCCTCCACCTGCACTGTCTCCCCCGCCCCCCCCCCCCCCCCCCCCCCTTCGTTAGTTGCAGACTTGGAACTCTCATGCACCCTCCCTGACACACATCACACCTCTCATACACTCTCACCGACTTGCGTGATGCCTCTTATGCACTCCTGCAAGCTTTCCTCTACCCACATAGTGCCTCTCGCACATACTTCCTTACCCACACCTCTCATGGATTCTCCCTTACATCCTCTTGCTCCCTCTTCTACCTGGCAGTAGCCACTTACCTACTTAGGACTGTCACCTTCCACACCAACTTTGGTTATGGGAAGACAGTAGGAAGTTGCCTCACCTAAAGACTGTGGAATTCAGTTAACAATAGCAACTGGGAATGTAGTGACTGCTGTCACTTAACAATGGAAATTCCGATCTCAATTGTGAATGTAAATCAAGGACTCTCTGTAATCATGACTTAATTTAATGTGTGAATTGGCCTACTACTCAGTTATGATTCAGATCTACTTAATTGTTTTAGAAATACTATTAGTGGAGAACTTGATTTAAAGCAATTATTTAAATTAATATTTTACTTAATCACCTTGATTTAAAAATAAATACATGTGTGGAAATGGCTGAAAGAATAATACTGTAAAATCCAAATAAAAGGCAGATACAGATCACCATGTAAGAGATTAATCTAGTTTACAGAGCTTTAATAATTGTGTTTATACACTGAGGTGCACATTCCACAGCCCTGTGGAATGAACTGCCCCCGGAAATGCGTAAGATCTCTGACCTCAGGGTATTTCGCTGTGCCCTTAAGACCCTGCTGTTCCGCCAGGCCGGGCTATCAATGTAATGATTTTAAATTGGATGTTTTAAATTTTTGGGGGTTTTAATATTGAGCCGAAATTATTTAATAATTTTAAATAATTTTAATTGTTGTTTGTCTTTGTGCTTTTAATAGGCTGTACACTGCCCCGAGTCCTTCGGGAGAAGGGCGGTATAGAAATAAAATTATTATTATTATTATTATTATTATTATTATTATTATTATTATTATGATGATGATGATGATGATGATGATTAAAGAAAATAGACATTTAAAATGCAGCAGCTAAAAATACTTTTTTCCTCCTCCCTCTCCCACTCATTGCCACACTTAATGACAAGCAACAATTTGCTATTCATGTCTTGTGTTTCAAAACATTTTAACTGGTCAAGCCAAGTTAAAGCCAACTGATCAAGCCAAGAAGTGTACTTTTGAAAAGGCAGTTCAGTTTAATAACAGAACTAAAACTTATGAAAGAAAAGAAAACTTCTGCTGTTTGTGTACTTATTTCTCTTTGTCCGGAAAAGGAGAGAATACAATAAGGTTGCTGCATGAATCAGCTGAAATGCAATTTTCAGTCTTGTTTCTTAGAGGAGTGAAGAAAAGGCTGACATCCAGATTTGGCTGTGGGGCAGAAGAAATACACTTAATATACAGGTAAAATTTAAGTCTTCCCAAATCACATCAAGCTGTTGGTTTGTGGCTGAGCTTTCAGATAGAAATATTTGCTGCCATTTTTAAGGCAATTTAAATTGCCTCTATTCCAATTTTAATAAGAATTGTATAAATGTTTCCTAATAGTGCTGATGTATGGAACATCACTAAAAGTGCCCAAAATCAGCTTAACAAGCTGTGCAATAAATAGACTGAGAGATGTAAAAAAAATTCTCCCATCTGAGTTTCATTGGACAGATATGTGAATCTATGCACTCATCTCCAACCTTGAGCTGATATAGCAATGAGGATTCTTTGACTCATATACTGCTTCCTAGAAAGTACTCCATGGTGGAATCTATATCATGATTCTAATACAGTTTTGTCCCAAGTGAAGCTATCGTGTGCTCATACCCATATTATTTGAAAATACTGAGAGCTGTAATGCAAGATAGATGAAGGATATCAAACAAGGGGAAATTGTATAAGAATTGTTGCTCAATTTTGTCCCAACTAAATTTTTGTGCTCCCTTTTCCTGCAACGTTCAGATTCAGAATGCAAGCTTTTTGGGGGCTGGGCCCCAGCTCTTTTTGGTGATGAAGCTGTCATATTTCATATGCACAGGCAGTAAATTGATGCTACTGTAAGAAAGGATAAAGCTGGATAAGACTAGCTAGGCCGTTTCCTATTAAAAAGTTTTACGTGCTCTGTTTAGGTGCACCATAAATCATCTTTAGTAAGCAATTAGTTTTGGAGCTGGTAAATTCTGATTATACATCCTAATTGTTACAATAAAAACAGATATATTTAACCTAAACTAATCTTAGGCATTTTTTATTGTGAAAAGTCAATAGTTAACTAGAATAAGGGCTACCTCGAAATTTTGCCTTTGGTGTCATGCATGTGACAGCCTACCTCGCAAAAGTTGTACGCATCATATAAATCTATGTATGTTGAAACTGTGTTGCACAAAGAGGCTTCTATATGAGCTGGAATTTTGACAAATGCAAAGTTTCTACTTGCATGGATACCTCCTCATATATACTGTGTCTATGAGCCCTTACACCTAAAGAGGTTTGCATCACAAAATTAACATAGAGATAATGCATCCTTAAATAATAACATGTTTATTTAATGATGCATTGTTTCCAAAATGTAATTCTGTATAGTTCAAGTAACATCTAATTAGTAACATCTAATTGACTTCAAGCAAACTTACCTGGAGATCAAATATTCCATCATTGCAGGACAAGCCTGGAAAATAAAATCTCATTTTCAGAGAAATATTTTAAAATGCATATTAAGTTATACATAGATATTAATTATATCATCTGGAAGCTTCCAATTGAAATAAATGATACTTATGTAGACAACATTCTTAGCAGACTATTTAGTACTGCTTTCACCTTATAAATCTCTAACACATTATTATTATTTATAATTTAAATGGTTTCTATACTGATTGCAGTGAGGACATACTTATATAAAGGCATGCCCAAATTGCAGCCAGCAGCTTTTATCAGCAGCTTGAAGCAAAATAACTTAAAACATCTATGACAAAACATGCAGACAGCTCTGAAAATTTGATTCCCAAATAATTCTTACATGATCTCAGATTATAAGATCACCCAAAGAATTTCTTTCTTTCTTAAATTATTTGCTGCCGTCTCATTTTGAAATGACTTTGTACTAATTATCACAAGAAAATCCACCAAGTTTACTTACGTTCTGGTGTATGCTGTACTTCATCTTGATCACAAGTTTCTGCAGCCCGAGAATTCTCTGTGGCACTAAAAAAACCCTGTTTGACCTCATCTATTGTGGTCTGCTTCATCTCATCTCCAATTTCTGAAGCTTCTTCTTTAAGTTGGTAAACATCCATGTCACTTGAGGATGAGCTCCTGTCACAGCTGATTGGTTCTTCATCCTGGATTCAGAAGCAAAGATAAAGTTCAAGGACCTTGAATGAAAATGGATCACTCTTTAGAACAGAGTTCCCCAATCTTTCCGGCTTTGCGGACCGGCAGGGAAGATGGTTCCGTGTGAGGAGGGGCAAGCACACGCACAACTCCATTTGCACAAGTGGTGGGCACACATACCCACTGCTTGTACAAATGGGCACGCTTGCCCGCTACTTCTCCGGCCCGGCTCCAAACTGCTCAAGGCCTGGTAGTGGGCCATAGCCATGGGGTTGGAGACCCCTGCTTTAGAATACAGAAAAATGAAGACAAGATCTTTTTAAATCACTGACTGGCACTAATGCAAGGGCATAAACTGACCCTTTTCATTTTCATTAAATGAATGAAACCAAATGAATGAATGAATGAATGATTTAACCAAGATTTTTTTTTAAAAAAGCAGCTTTCACTTTCATAGCATTTCATCGCACTCCCCCTTTATATGAAAAAACAAGATAGCCACCCCTTTTTAGGGCATTACTTCTGTACACAATAAAGCAGGATGACTTTGACAGAAATGTGCAAGAACTGTTAAGAAGGCAAAAAGGGCTAAAAGATTTATTAAGTCCTGAGAAACAAATTAATATTTAGAAGTGGCTCCGAAGGACACCTCCCTGATCCACTGGAATATAAAAAGCAGCAGCAGCACAGAATCATTTATTTTATTTATTTATTTATTTTTCTTATACTTATATGCCGCCCTTCTCCCAAAGGACTTGGGGCGGCTCACAGAAGTTAAAACGATGAAAACAATAAAAATAACTACTAAAATAATCAATTAAAATCTCCCAATTAAAAATCATCCATCAGATCAGCAAATTTGTTGGAAAAGCCATGTCTTCAGGTCATGGCGGAAAGAGCGGAGGTCGGGGGGGCCATCCAGAGCCCTGTGGGTAACCTATTCCAGAGGGTCGGTGTGCCCACAGAGAACGCCCTCATCCTGGGCGCCACCAGCTGACATTGTCTGGCCGATGGCACCCGGAGGAGGGCAGTCCTATGTGAGCGCACAGAGCCGGGGGGGCAGGCAGAAGGTGGTCCTGCAGGTACCCCGGGCCTATGCCATGTAGGGCTTTATAGGTAAGTACCAGCACCTTGAAGTGGATCCGAAGGACCACCGGTAACCAGTGCAGCTCACGCAGGAGAGGTGTAACAAGGAAGTAATGGGAAGCTCCTGTAACAACCCACGCGGCCACATTCTGGACCAGCTGGAGCCTCCGGGTACACCCCAAGGGCAGCCCCATGTAGAGGACATTGCAGTAGTCTAAACGAGAGATAACAAGAGCTTGGGTGACTGTACGGAGGGCATCCCTGTCTAGGAAAGAGTGTAACTGGCGCACCAGGTGAACCTGTGCAAAAGCCCCCCTGGTCACGGCCGTCAGATAGTCCACTAAGGACAGCCGCGAATCCAGGAGGACGCCTAGATTGCGAGCCCTTTCAGAGGGAGTAAGCAACTCCCCTCCCATCAAGAGTGATGGGGCCACTAGACCATGAGATGCCGGCAACCACAGCCACTCCGTCTTGGAGGGGTTGAGTCTGAGCCTGTTCCTACCCATCCAGACCCGTACCGCCTCCAGGCACTTAGACATCACGGAAAGGGCATCTCTAGGTTGGTCCGGAGTGGAGATGTAAAGCTGGGTATCATCAGCATACTGATGATACCTCATCCCAAAACTGCGAATGATTTCACCCAGCGGCTTCATATAGATGTTAAAGAGCAAGGGGGAGAGAACCGACCCCTGAGTTACCCCACAAGTGAGGGGCTTCGGGGAGGATCTCTGTTCCCCCACCCAGACAAACTGCATGTGACCCGAGAGGTAGGAGGAGAACCATTGCAAAACAGTGCTCCCCACCCCCAACCCCCCGAGTCGTCGCAGTAGGATACCATGATCGATGGTATCAAAAGCCGCTGAGAGGTCAAGTAGGACCAGGATGGAGAAATAACCCCCATCCCGGGCCCGCCAGAGATCATTCACCAGAGCGACCAATGCCGTTTCTGTGCTGTGTCCGCACCTGAAGCCCAATTGCATTGAAGCCCAAGTCAATCTTGCATTGACTTGCAAGATTCTTATAACCAATCTCAATGAAAATCATTCTGGTCTTCATGTGGAGTTGATTTTCTGCCTAATGGGACAGACATGTTTCCAGAAAATTCTGCAGTCCCAATTTCTGAACCAACAGAAAACAATTTTGTGACATGCTGATATGAAAGAAAGACATGCTAAAAAAAGATAATACTTACAGTTGATATTTCTGTTTTGTCTGTTCTAGCATACAGTTCCTCTGTTGCTTGAGTGCCACTGGAGAAAATAAACAAAGAGGTGCAGATTTGAAACGATATTACTCCCTAGTTCCTAACCCCTTTTTAAATTGCAAATCCTCAACTTGGATACATCAATACGATGCATAGAAACATCACAGCATAAAAACTAATTAGTTGAGCATTCTATTCCCATTGTGCCCACCAGAGATCAATGGGTAGCCTACAGGTAGGATTATTTGGCAGTTTGAGTCCCATCGCCTCAAAGTTGACTCAGCCTTCCATCTTTCCAAGGTCGGTAAAATGAGGACCCAGATTGTTGAGGGCAATATGCTGACACTGTAAACTACTCAGAGAGGGCTATAAAGCATTGTGAAGCAGTATATACTGTAAGTCTAAGTGCTATTGCTATTATGATAATAGCAGTACATTCCCATTCATTTCCCCCAGCTCCTCTGGCATTCATTGGACTTTATATTATGGGGGTAGATGGGAGCGGGGTAGGTCATGTGGATTTGGGGGTCAACCCACAGAGGGAGGGGTTAAAATATGATTTTTTAAAGAGGATGCTAGATCCGGCAGAGTTATACTATAAGATGTGCAGATCTGGGAATGGAGGGGCTTAATACCTGTATGGAAAGAGGTTGCTCCATCAAGGTCATGGTTGGGAGGGGCAGATATGGTGGGAGCAGGGGGCCACATCATGCTAGGGGAGCACGCAACCGCTGTCTTCAAGCGGTGTCACGCTCCGACCCCCAAAGCTCTTCTCGTTCCCTGGGTTGCTCAGAGTCTCGCAACGTCAGGTCCGCGGCTAACAAAGCTCCCCTAATTTGTGAACTAATTCAGGAGGGGAGAGCGGACCTGGCGGGCATTACAGAGACCTGGTTGGGCCATGAAGGGGGAGTCCCCCTGGTAGACATGTGCCCACCAGGTTTCCGCGCATTCCATCAGCCAAGGTCTCAGGGTAGGGGTGGCGGTTATTATAAAGGAGAGTCTTGATCCTAGGGAAGCCACTGTTCCTCAGACAGCTGGATTTGAGTCCCTCCTCGTGAAGTGGGGTCATGGGTTACAGATGGGCCTGCTGATTACGTACCTGGCTCCTTGCCACGTAGCAGCAGCCCTGCCTGATCTCCTCAATGTAATAGCTGGGGTGGTGGTTGAGACTCCTAGGCTTCTTGTCATGGGAGATTTCAATCTGCCGTCCATAGGTGAAACATCTGAGGCAGCTCGGGAGTTCATGGCTTCCATGACAGCCATGGACCTGACCCAGTTAGTTCATGGCCCTACTCACATGGGGGGACACACTCTGGATTTGATTTTTGTATCTGACCAGTGGTTGAATGGCCTAGATATAGGGGATATAGTTATCGAGCCCTTGTCATGGTCAGACCATTCTCTCCTTAGGCTTGACTTTCTGTCCGCTACACCCCACCGCAGGAAGGCGGAACCGATTAAATGGTTCCGCCCCAGGCGCCTGATGGATCCTGACAGATTCCAGATGGAGCTTGGGCCATTTCCTAAGACTGTAGCTCACAACTCGATTGAAGACCTGGCGGCACCCTGGGATAGGATGGCCGCTGGTGCCTTGGATCGGGTTGTGCCTTTGCGGCCTCTGACCCGGTGTCGAAGTTGCCCGGCTCCGTGGTTTTCCGAGGAGTTGAGGGAAATGAAACGCCGGAAAAGACGCTTAGAGAGTAGTTGGAGAGCCAGTCGTTCCGAATCTGACCGAACACTAGTGAGGTCATATATTAAGACCTACTTAGTGGCGATAGCAGCGGCAAAATATAACTATTTTTCCGCTATTATTGCATCGGCAGATAATCGCTCAGCCGCCTTGTTTAAGATGACCCACTCCCTCCTCCATCTGGGAGCACGGGAAGACCCCTTGCAAGGTCGAGCTGAGGATTTTGCACAATATCTACACGATAAAATCGCTCAAATTCAGGAAGACTTGCACTCTGACTGGGTAAGTTCAGACGAAGTGATGGAGGCGAGTCTTGAGGATGTTATTTGGGATGAGTTTGACCCTGTGACCCCTGAAGACGTGGACAGGTTACTGGGGAAGTTGAACGCAACCACATGTTTACTGGACCCGTGTCCCTCCTGGTTGGTACTTGCTTCCCGAGAGGTTACACGAGGCTGGCTCCAGAGGATTATAAACGCTTCTCTGTGTGAGGGTTTCTTGCCTTCCACCTTGAAAGTGGCGGTGGTGAGGCCCCTCCTCAAGAAGCCCTCTCTGGACCCGGCTATTCTAGCAAACTACCGTCCTGTCTCCAACCTTCGCTTTGTGGCAAAGGTTGTTGAGAGTGTGGTGGCACAGCAACTCCTGCAGTACCTGGATGAAACTGTCTACTTAGATCCGTTCCAGTCCGGCTTCAGGCCTCGTTACAGCACTGAAACAGCATTGGTCGCATTGGTTGATGATCTCTGGAGAGCTCGAGATAGGGGTTGCTCCTTTATCCTGGTTCTATTAGATCTCTCAGCGGCTTTTGACACCATTGACCATGGTATCTTGCTGCGCCGGCTGGAGGGGCTAGAAGTGGGAGGCACTGTTCTACAGTGGTTCTCTTCCTATCTCTCTGACCAGTCACAGTCTGTGTTGGCAGGAGGGCAGAGGTCGACTTCAAGACACCTTATTTGTGGGGTGCCGCAGGGGTCGGTCCTCTCACCTCTTCTGTTCAACATTTATGTGAAGCCGTTGGGGGAGATCATCCGTGGTTTTGGGGTGCAGTGCCATCTTTACGCTGATGATACTCAGCTGTACATCTCCACCCCAATGATGCCTTTGCAGTAAAGTCCCAGTGCCTCGAAGCCATGCGGATCTGGATGGGGAGAAACAGGCTCTGACTCAACCCTTCCAAGACCAAGTGGCTGTGGCTGCCGGCGTCCCGATATAGCCAGCTGATACCTTCGCTGACTATTGGGGGCGAGTCATTGGCCCCCACGGAGAGGGCTCGCAACTTGGGTGTCCTCCTGGACACGTGGCTGTCTTTAGAAGAGCATATGACAGCCGTGGCCAGGGGAGCTTTCTATCAGGTTCGCCTGATTTGCCAGTTGCGACCCTTTCTAGATCGGGACTTCTTACGCACAGTCACTCATGCCCTCATCACTTCCCATCTGGACTACTGTAATGCTCTCTACATGGGGCTCCCCTTGAGGTGCACGCGGAGGCTCCAACTGGTCCAGAATGCAGCTGCGCGGGTGATATTGGGAGCGACATGGCGCTCACATGTAACACCTCTCCTATGCGAGCTGCACTGGCTCCCAGTGGTCTTCCGAGTGCGCTTCAAGGTGTTGGTTCTTACCTTTAAAGTGCTCCATGGCTTAGCACCTGGGTATTTACGAGACCACCTTCGGCAACCAATAACCTCCCACCAACCAGCACGCTCCCACAGGGTGGGCCTCCTCAGGGTGCCATCACTAAAGCAATGTCAACTGGTGGTTCCCAGAGAAAGAGCCTTTTCTGTGGGGGCACCTACCCTTTGGAACAGATTACCCCCAGGGATACGAATGATCCCAGATCTTCGTACTTTCCGTCGTGCACTTAAGACCTTTCTATTTCACCAAGCTGGGCTGGCATAAATCTCTTCTAATTTTTCTAAATCTTTATGCTGAAAATTCTTAACCGATGAACCAAATTGGCTTAATCATCTTATATTCACATTTTATATGTATGTTATTTTAACTGTTCACCGCCCTGAGTCCTTCGGGAGAAGGGCGGTATAGAAATTGAATGAATGAATGAATGAATGAATGAATAAATAAATAAATATGTTATAATGACCAGGAATAGATCCATATCCATTTGAGAAGAGTCTGAACTGATTTACAAAGGCATGTCAAATTTCCTCTCTTCACACTTTAAGGTATTGGAAGAACAAGGACAAAACTGAAGTTTAGAGTATGAATTAAAACAAAGATACCATTAACAGTACTTCTAAAATGAATATAATTTCTCCCAGCATATTTGTAAGAATGAATGCATTCTCACCACTGATTCTATTTTATTCAACATAGGAAAAATTGGAAATATCAGCCATATTTAATTTAATAAAATTAATTTATTAACTTAAATTTAATAAAACAAACAATATGATTAATAAAAATTAGGTTTAACATAATTGCTGTAAAAATTAGAAAGCTGAAACAGGAGGATTTAAAAACTTTATCTGTTAGATATCATCAGCAGAAAAATTACAATCACTGTTTCAGGATAGTTTAAATACGCTATATTTTTAAATGAACAATGGAGGGATTAAAAATTTAGTTTGGATTGCTAAAATACAGAAAAAAATTTCTGGCTTGAAAGAAGGAAACAACCATTTGCTCAAAAGTCCCAGCATGCTTGTGGTATGAAATTGAAATGGAGCTCATCTAAAGGCAAATCCCTTATGCAAGAATTATGCTCTGTACGCTGAATGCTTAAGAAATATTTTGCTGTGAAAAAACCAGTGATCTTTCATGCAACCCAAAAGCTACAATTGTGCTCTGAGATTCCTCTGGATCTCCCCAAAAGGGTTGTTATTCCTGCACCGCCCAAAGCAAAGGGCCAGTTTAGCTGCATACCTTTTCTCAGTTGTGGAGCCACGGTGGTCAGTTCCAGCAGAATCTGAAAATGCTTTAGGTTCTGGAAAAGGAGGAACGGCTTTGGACGTACTTGATGTGCCTTGCTTTAAAACACAGATCTCTGCACAATTCTGAAGCAAAGCCTTATTGGCAGACCTTGGGGTCGTCCACCGGGAAATTCTGTGAGTTGATTTAGGAGTCCGGCCTATAGGTAATAGATGAGTGAGCAACTGAATATTGTATTATATTAATATGTTATCTGTGATAAATTTGGATTCTGGGCCCCACATCTGCAGAAAATATGGGGGAAAGGATGCTGAATGCTTGAAATATGAATGTACACACACACGATTAAATCATCCTCACAATTAGTTTTTCTCACATTCTATGTTCTATTAAAACAATCTGAAAAGTGTTAACAGAAGATTTGACCAATAGTGAGGCATTCTCCAGCTGTCCCACGCAGTTTCCCTCACAACTTTGAGATAGATTAAATTGACTTCCCCAGATAAGCTTCATGGCTGAATGACGATTTAAACCTGGGTTTATCTGGTTGTAACCAGACATAGCCTGAAAGCAAAAGCCAAAATACCACAATCGGATTTTGACTTGTGTGTTGGAGGCTTTTCCTGCCACCACTGCAGAAGAGGCTGCCAGTATTCATGGAGCGGGAGCGTCTCGATGAAAAGCTTCCATTTGTAGGCATCCCTTTTTTGGGAAGCTCAGTTTCCTCAACAGTTTATAACTGTTTCTCAAATGTTCTGTACTAAAGTTAGAAAAATATTTACAATATACGTGGGATTGGAAGATGTTCCTTAAACCAAGAACATACAATGAAAAATCAAAGGGAGGAGTGGGCAGCTAGTGGAGAGACTATTTTGAAATAAAGCAACCTTGTGCCCATTTTAAATTCCTTATTTCAACTTTGATAAGATAGTCCTCAACTTATGACCAAAACTGAACCCGAAATTTCCATTACTAAGCAAGACAGTTGTTAGGTGAGTTTTGCCCCATTTTACCACCTTTCTTGTTCTTAAGTGAAACACTGCAGTTGTTAAGTTAGTAACACAATTATTAACTTCCCCATTGATTTTGCTTGTCAGAAGACCGCAGAAGGTGATCACATGATCCTGAGACACTGCCACCGTCATAATACATCCCAGTAGCCATGCATCCAAATTTTGATCATGTGATCCTGGGATGCTGCAACATTTGTAAGTGTGAAAAACAGTCATAAATCACTTTTTTTCAGTCCCATTCTATCTTGTGGTCACTAAATGAATGATTGTAAGTTGAGGACTACTGTAATTAGCTACCAACCGCTCTAGGGCACACTACTTTTGGGATGTGGATGTCTGAAGACCCATTTCTTCCCATCACCTAGGGGGTAGAATACTTCATCCATACCCAGGGTCTTGAAGTGAGTAACCAAAATAATACAAAATAAAATATTAAAAAATAATATAAATATATGTATTAGGGAGGTTGCCTTTGGAGATTGCTTGGAAGCTACAAATTATATAAAATGTAGCAGGCTACATACTATTGGATGAGAAGCACCATAATCATAACAATATTATTGTGGCATTGTGCTTGTTGTCAATAGGATTTTGAATACAATCAGAATGTTATCTGTGAAGCCCCACTGTTTGGTCACCTAATTGTTTCCTCCAACTAAAACCAATTTATCCAATACTGCATGTACTAAATAGAGGTGGCTAAAGATTCCCCACCCCACGGGAGTTTCAGGAAAGGTGAAGAGTCAGCAAGGTGTAGCTACTGCAATAACTATCATCATAATACATATATTCTTGCACAAAGGCAGTGGTCTGGACTGACCTGGAAAGAGTTTGGCAGGAGATTCAATTTTGAAAAACCCTCCATCAAATATCCGTTCTGCTTCTTGGCCTGAAGCCTCTGCTGCCAACCCTTCTTTTGTCTTGTTCTTCATGGCTGCTTTTACAGATGCAAGGCGTTTTCTGGCTGCTCTCCTTTCGGCAGACCCCCCTGCTGCTTTGGCTGTCCTTCGAAGGATGGGCTTTTTCTGGAAATCAAAAGATACCTTGGCAAAGCTGATAATCACCTGCCTTCAAAAACTCAGGGCACAAGGAATGCAATCAGACCTCGCTAGAGATCCTGCCTGTATCATGCAGACACGGCTCCTTCACTCCATCAGAGAGGGAAGCACAGACCCAACTCCAATGACATCTTAGACATCGGAATACAATCCTGAGTAGTCTACAGAGTATAGGGCAGTTTCCCCAACCGTGGCAACTTGAAGATGTGTGGACTTCAGCTCCCAGAATTCCTTACCCAACCAAAATCTTCAAGTTGCCAACATAGAGGAACACTGGTATAGGGCATATGATCCAAAGAAAATAAAAACAAAACTCATGCTCCTGATGCTATTATTATTACAATTTGAACAACCACCCAATACATCTAACCAACTCTGGGCAACTCACAACAGGTAAAAAAAAAATGCAATAAAAGCAAGTTAAAAACCAATATACAAACATATAAAAACCACTCGCAATCAATTTAGAACCAAAAATCCTTGCTGAGAACTTTGCTAGGAAGTATGGCCTCCTGTCCAGATAAATGATAAAGTAGTGGATAACAGCCTTACCAATTTGCTTTCTGGGAAAATCATTTTTTGTGAATAGGCACTTCCATCACTGCAGTCACAGAATGAATGTGCGATTCTGTCCCAATCCATGATTGGATGCCCAAAATATATTTTCAAAATTTCAGATATGTCTACCAATCCAAAAGGTTTGTCTCTCCCAGGGGATATCTCACGAGAGAAGACAGTATTTCAGGTAGGAAATAAAAAGATAACTTTTATTTAGGATTGTCAGAGGCTGAGGTTCTGACTCAGAACTGCGACATGTGAAAGTTAAAATATACCTCCAACAGGACATATACTTCCGCCAACCCCTCTCCTGACTAATCAGGCAATACTGTAGAATGGTTTATTAACAGGAATAAAAGTACTGTAAATAGTACAGAAAAACAGGTTTTTTTCAAAATAAAAATGTATTACAATTCCAAAGTTGGAACTGCTAGTCATGGTATATTTACCAAACCCTACTTTCTGACTCACAAAGATGTCCAGTTCTAAGCTCTCTAATGATAAACTATGATATGAGATGGCTTCACTTCTAGGAAACATTTAAAGGTCGTCCGTCTCAAACTGACTACAATACTGATATATTCAGCACTGAATAGTGAATTATTCAGTTCCCTATCAGATTTCACAAAGCGTTAAGCTATTCTTAGCAGCTAGTGAAAGTCAGGAATATCAAGGCAAGCAACCAAAGGATCAACCATGGGTCTTATATTAGCTTCAAAACATTTTAAAATTCACTGGAAATATAAATGACATGTCAGATATTAGAAGTTTAGATCAAAATCCCAATGATCAATGTACCTATTTGTTTACAAGAAGAAAACTTTTGATGCTTACAGGAAAATGGGTGAAGGGGGCAATAGAATGTATTAAAAAGAGAACCTGAAGCAGGCCAAAAGCCAGGAAGTAAAGTGGCAACAAAAAGGAAACTTGGAAAAGAAAGTGGTACTTCACTACACTTAAGGGTCAGCCTGAATATGGATGGCAATGCAATTAATTAGCCCTCAAGATGTACAAAGTTTTATAAAGTACAGTAAGATGCATCTCCACTTCAAATAATTCAATACTGAAGAAACATAGAAGAGGCAAGTAAAGGAGGCAGGAAAGCAATATTTGATTGTTTCACTCACATATGCTCAGTATGGCACCTGATGTCACCTCCTTAAAGAAGCTGTGCCTTTCTGAATTCAAACAGTGCTGGTGGAGTCCCAGGACAGTATAGATCTACATTAAGGAGGCACCACTACTGTGGAGTCTGGGGCTCCACAGATACCATGCCAATTCAGGAAAAGGCAGTGTCATTAAAAAACAACAACACCCCTGACAGATGCAGCGAACATGCCTATGCCCTTACAAATCACATTTTCCATTTTTTTTTATCTGAATTGCTGTGCAGTTCTCAGACTTGGATACAGGAGTTACAGTTTCCATAAGATGAACAGGTAGCTTAAGTTTAGTAAAAATTCTGCTCCATGAGAAACTTTATTGTACCTTTTTGTGCAGTTGCCTGTATCCTCAAGAAAGTTACCTTTCAGAAATAGCCTCAGTAATTATGTGCCATGCAAAAATCACCCCCTAAAAGCAGAACCAGCAAAGAGTATCATACCTTGGCAGGTCTGTGGGGCTGAGCATCATCCACCATTTGCCACCCATTCACCTCAAGTTTCTTCAAGTTCTCAAATTTTTTATTTATGTCTTCTACCTATTTGAGGAAGAGAAAGGTTGCAGAACAAAACTAAAGCGGACCAAGTTACCAACCCTCCCGCACATTACATTAAAAAAAATATTAAGTGTTAAAAAGCATAGTAAGCTTTCTTAGGAAATAGCTTCACCAAGAAATCAAAGACAAGACACTGTTAACCATTTCTTAGGAATGTCTTGCAACATTGCCTTGTATCCTGGTGTTTTGAATGAATGAGAATTTAATATGGATTGCTCAATATGATGCATGCTGGAGAACCCTAAATTTTATTGTAAGATGCGAGTTTCAAGTTGACATGATGGCCAAAACATGCTTGAGCTTTGTGTGTGGAAATTAGTACGCTCTCAGCAGCCAAGGGACATGCATGTTCAAGCTGAAAAGTAATATTTTCCTTGTGGTGTATTTTCTATAACTTTCATTTTTCCCAGTTTGGGATATTTCTTCTAATTTACCTTTTTTAATCAACCGCAGAATCTGAATGATCAGGTTAGGATTGGTTTACTGTTGATTAAACAAAGGTCTGGCCATTAAGTAAAGGTAAAAAGACAAAGAGTCAGCTGAAGGCAAACAGAGGTTTAACAGTTTGAAAAAAAAAAAACTTACCTGAAAGTTTACCATATCCCAGAATCCATCCAGATCTGTGCAAGTTGTCTCTTTCTCTCCACGTCTGAATTCACAATTGTCTATCAGCCCTTCAAACTGTTTGAATCTCTCTGCCATCAACAGTCGAGTTTGCCCAATGGTTGTGCGGACAAGATCTTTTGCTGGAAAATCAGTAGTATTTTGTCGCATAAACAGTATATAAATTTAAACCACCGATCTATAGAGATAGGCTTCAATTCATGTATGTGATATTCAAGTTAATGCATATTGTAAACTGATTTACTGTGGCCCGAAATTCAGTTAATGCAAAGCTAGAAGGTGTGCAATTGAGGCTAGTGCATACACAGCTGCAGTTTTAGATGCTGCTGAACTTTGTGCAAAATGCAGAACAGGAAAAATCTACCCGAGGAAAACAGTTAACATGCAAGTGAAGAAGTTCACTCTCCACAAATCTGAAGATATCTTTCAAGCTATAGAAGTTGTGAAGCAAAAAAATTATGAATGCAGGCCCTAACATTGATTAAAGCATGAAAACTCGCTCTACCAGCATATCTATGAAGATTTAAAGAGAAAGCAGTCCAGTCTACTCTGCTAAATATGTTTTGGTCAGTGCAAGTTAGCCTTTAGGAATGATACTGAGATTTTTTTTGTTTTCATTTTGCTTTTTGTGATTTTGTTAACCATAAATTTAAATAAGTAAATGATGTTTATCCCTTACTATGCGATTAATATACTTACAAAAGTTATGTTTAATTTTTTTCCCTATCATGCTTGAACCAATTACTATATTTTCTATAGAAATATCACTTTGAAGAGTGTGAATTTGAATATTGCAACTATTTTGTAAGAATTCATTAACCACACTAATCAAGACCTACCTATAAATAAAGGAAAGATATGTAGGCATACCACAGTCACAGTTAAACTCAGGCTGTTGTTTATTTCTGACAATAATTTCACAAACACTTTCTGTGTTTTCTCTCTTACCCTCCTCTGGAATATCCATTTCAACAGTTTTATCCCATTCAAGACAAAATGAGGTCAGTCTCTCTTTCTCCAATTGAAGAATGTTTCTTTTAAAACAAAAGCACATTCAGACAATTTCTCATTATTTCAATTAATGACCCAATTTTTTACCCATAAGATACTCAAATGGACTAATGTATAAGATTATAGTGCTTCAAAACCAACAGCAGCAATTAAAAATATTAATTTAAGTAAAAAGCAACACATTATACTACATAGAATACTTCTCGCTATGAAGCTAAATATTGGCTAAAGATGGACATACGAAAATTCCTTAATCTGAGAATCGTGCTTCACTTCTTCTGCTTCTTTTCCTACTCACATCCTGTTGTAAACAAGAATTGGCAGAATGTGCTTATTCCTATATGTAATATTTTAAAAAACAGTTAGTTAGGGTTAAGGTTGCAATGCAGAAGCATCAGTGCCTATAGTAGCAGCCTGTGAAATATGGTTCCAGTAACAAGGATGGTTCCTAGGCTATATAGGACTCAATAGACCCTGTTTTGCCAGCCATTTTACTTGATTGCTTTTCATTCAAGGGAAGAGAATAGATAGTAAGGAAAATGCCATTTCTACCACTCTGTTCACACTCAGACAGCTTAGATGCTATTGTGGGACAGGTGTATAATTTTCAGAAATGGGCTTGCTTGGAAAAGTATATAGTCTTTGGCGCACATAGCACAAGGAGATACAATCTAATTTTAAACTCCAAGCAATTACAACAGCAGGTAAATGTATCCCTCGCACATATGTGGTAGTCGTTCTTGACTCTAGGAGGCGGTGCTCAACACAGTTTCAAAACCGAAGAGCCAGCGCTGTCCGAAGACATCTCCGTGGTCATGTGGCCAGCATGACTAAACGTCAAAGGCGCACAGAACGCTGTTATCTTCCCACCAAAGGTGGTCCCTATTTTTCTACTTGCATTTTTTACATGCTTCCGAACTGCTAGGTTGGCAGGGACAAGTAATGGGAGCTCACCCTGTTACACGGCACTAGGGATTTGAACCGCTGAACTGCTAACCTTTTGATTGACAAACTCAGCATCTTAGCCACTGCATCCCTAAATGTATCCCTAAAGCAGGTAAAATGGATTGGTTACCATTTCTATCCCACAGTATCCATGAATAGCTAATCTGTTGTTTACTTTAATACAAAGGTGAATCTCTTTGAAGAAGGTATTTTAACAAGCATCCTTATTACCCAGGCAGCTTATTACTGTAGATCCCTTTGATCTTGTCTACAAACCTGAAATAGGACACATCATGCAGGAGCTTTGTTGCTGGCTCTGATATTTCACTTGCTAGAAGATCTGGTTGCTGCACACTGCTCTCACCTTTGAACGCAATATTATCCCTGATCTCACTAGGCACCCGTTCTAGAAAAAGAATGATTTTATACAGAAAAATGGTAGAATCTGCATTAAATATAGGAAGAATATAATCTGCAGCTAAATAGGCCGTAGATGCTCTTTAAGTAATTATCAATTAAATTTAAACCATATTAGCCAAAGCATTAGTATTTTGCATATTTAAAGTTGCAATGACATGCAGTTGACCAAAAGCTGCATTTTTGCCTTTCTCTTTTTTTTTTTTAAACCATAATTCAAGGGGAAGGGATGAAGGGTAGCCTGTTACCCCAAGTCTGCTTATGGTCTTTTGTTTTGTTTTGTTTTGCTTGCTGGTCCTGGAACCTGTCTATCTAATTGCTAAATTTTAATATTCTGACAGTTTAAAATAAATAGAGTAACAATTAAGTCTAAATAGACTTAACACAGAAAGATTGCCCTCCACCAATGACACTTTAAATAATATCCATATGACTGATGCACCCTTAGTCTTACTGCATCATCCTCATCCCATCCCAAGAGATCCCTCAAAAGATCAATGGACTTGAGTAAAAGCAAAATCCCCATCCCTGATGCATTGCTGCAGAGTCTGAGTTAAGGGTGTACCAACAAGGTGCTTCAGACTGAGCATAAGTAGGCTTATCAGTATTCAAATCAAGAACATTTTCCTGGAAGAGTCCAGGTAACAAGGTAACTTCATTAAGGAGGTGCCAACAGATCACAGTTCACTGTACCCATTTCAAAGAACTTCCTTCACTTCACTGAAGTGTAGCACATCACTGCCTGATAGCTACTGTATTTCAGCACTACAAATCAAAGACTGAGGTAGAAGAAAAGGCATCTTGCCTAAAGGGAAATGCACATCCACAATGGGACTTCTCACCCCCTTTTAAAATTTGTGCCTCTTAACACCAGTGGTATAGATGTTTTCTTAGATATACCTTCTTTAATTTCCTCCAATAAATCCAGGGCATATTGATGTCCTTCAGTGGTTTCCTTTGTGAGTTCGGGGTTAGTTTCCTCTTTGTAGACTTCACTAATAATAATAATAAAATTATGAAACACTGGAAGTTGCAGATCAAAACTGAACATATACGGAAAAAGAAATCCGTTGTTATATCAAACATGATTGTAGCCCTCAGAGCAATATCTAAAGAACTTCCTCAATGTCTGGAAATATTAAAATATTTGTCAGACTTGGAACACCCTAATTTAAAACAACAACAAACCCCCAAACCTCTCCAAAAACTAACCTGCTTGGAACTGCCTATATTCTTAGACGCTGACCTGATAATTCTTGAGTCTTTGGTTAGGACTTGAATTATTAGACTTCTACCAGTCTTAGACTGTGAATTTAACTGTGGATTACCTACACACCATATCATCATTTAACATGATATGCACATGAAAGGTTGTAACGTTGGGAAAGGTAGAAAGAGAAGAGGAAACCCAGCAGAAGATGGATGAACTCAGATACTGGGGTGACTAGGGAAAATTGAAAGAACAGGTTAGAGATAGATCATCCCAGAAAAAGCCTACTTATGCGCTTGTTGGTGTTGAAAACAACTTAATGAAACATAATGAAATCAATGTTGTGGTCCTATTTTTGTACCCCTACTTGAATTCAACGTTTGCTCCTTGTAGCCGAGTCTCTGTATAGCTTTACGACAGGTATACTCCCAAAATCATGTTCAATAACTGCACCATCTGAGAGACCAATACTGTTTTGATTTGGTATCTTCATTTGAAAGACAGCCTAGGCCTCATATTTCAGAGATCTCTAAGTAGAAAACCACTACAGATAGTCAGAAGCAACCAATTCATATACAGCCTTATAAAGTTGAGGCATTTTAAGAGGAAATTAATTGCAACAGGAATAAGAACTGGAAATTAACAGGTGAGGAAATTGGAATAATTATCTTCCTTAGAGTTTCCTCTATGAGCTTGAATCTGAAGCAGCCTTAAGAAAGGTGGTGGGGGGGGGGAAATCAACACAGGTTGAACAGATTCATAAAATACTTTATAAGAAAATCTGAATTAGGATATCCTTACTTGTTTTTTTCTGAGGGGCTCCAGGAAAGATTGGGTGATAAGAACACATTTGCCCTGGAAGGGGTCATTGGTTTCACTTTGTAGGTAGACAAGCCTTTGGGAGGTTTAAAGACAAAATTCTGAGGGGCAAATGAGCGGTTTCTTTTTGGGGGTGCTGACATGTTTTCTTTGTCAAGAAAGTCCTTCTGTTCACTGCTTTTAGCAGGGTGGAGCTTCAACTCTTCTTCCTCTTGTTCCATTAGAATATCTTTATTTGTATTGTGCATGACCTGCTAAAACACACAGTGATTTCTTTATCATTTAAACACACGCATGTACATGGTTTTTTTTTCCTGGAAAATATTAGTACGTAACATTCCAATTTTATTTGCCTCTAGCTCATATTTGAGAATCTGATGCATTTTAAAACTACTAACTTAAAAAGCACAAGCAATTGAGGAATATTTCCATCATCATGATTTGCCTGAATATAAGCTTGAACTCAGATGAGTTGAATCAGTAAAACTTCATTATTTCAGTTTAGGCAAGTAAGGAGTTTTGATTTCTGAGCTGCCATTAGGGATAATAGCAGCATACATATGGTACTACAATATAAATGAAAAAAGAAATACAATTATACCGTGAAAAAACAAACTTACTGTTGTCCTTTCCTTTATTATCTCTTTCTGCTGCTTTCCTTTAATTGTAACTCTTTTCTGTGGCAGATTACCTAAAACAGAACAGATTGAACATTATTCCAGAACTGTTTTGCCACAAGGAACTCAAAATAACAATAGAAAGCAATAGAAGATAATTATTTTATAGAAGTAGAGACAAAAATACATTGGAAGTGTAATAAAAATCAGAATTCAACTCAAGAAAGCCTACAGCAAAATTATCAAGCAGGTGGCATCACCTAGATGATCTTATTTGCACTTAGTAGATCAGTGAGGTCATGCCCGATTATAAATTGGATAGAGGACCATCAAAAATATACAAACTGAAAGCAAAACTGGGAAATTGAAATAACATCCCAGAAGTAGGCAATGACAAACCAAGGAAATTGCATGGCTGTGCTCATATGTCACTAGAATTCGAACCTGCATCAAGGAACTGTTTACCTTTAGTTGTCCATGTAAAGTACTTTAGTACAATTTCGCCCACCTGAAATTATAGTTGGTTGTGATGCTTGTGGTATTCTTGACTTAGCTGCCACTGTTGCTCTTGTCGTTCTTCCATGTGTGATTCTTGAGATGGCGGACTGCATCTCTGAAAAATGAGAATCACCAAAATCTTAGATGTTCTGTGTATAAGGCAAGGATAGCTTTTTTTTTTTTTACAGGACAAAAGTGAAACAAACTTGATTGGGCCGTGTTATGCAATTGGTCAGGGCTGGGATTTTCTAGTTATTTTGGTACTAAAACTACTGCAGAACGTACACTACAGTTATCATGTATTTCTTGCTCTACAGTGGTGTGAAACTGCCTTACCAACCTCTGGCTATTTCCTCACCAAAATTCACAAGAGCCACCAAAGCCCTTTTTAAATAAGGACAAAGAACTCAGACCTTTATTCTCTTGTTTGGAAGGTTTGTCTATGTAGATCTGCTTCTGTTCTTGCTGAGCTATCTGCCGATTGCGGCCCTTACTGGTGTAGCTGGATGCAACCTAAAAAAAGAAATATAAATGTAAATACATACCTCTTTTTTAAATAAGATAGCAATCACACTGTGTTATTCATTTAATTCCAGCCAATAAGCAGATGTCGATTTACTCCATCAGTGATCTGTTTTTGATCCAGCCCTTTAAACCTTTCTGTTTAGTCACCTGGTGCGTGCCTTAAATCTCTACCATCAAACAGGAAGCATTAAAAAATGCTTCAGTAACAAGAGTGGGCATTTCAAAATGCGTCCCTCCCCGGCTCCATTTTTGGCAGCAAGGGCTTTTTGCAAAGACAACTGGAGCCTAGAGGAAGATCGCAAGCTGGCAGGACATGTTTGTCCCGCTCTCCCTCTACTCTCACTGCTCTGCTTTTTGAGTGCCAGGAACAGGCAAAGAAACCGGGGCAAAATGGCTGGAGGGGAAACAGCTTGCAAGATCTTTGTAAGGTGAGTCTCCACAGGTCTAGTGCCTGTGGAGACCCAGCCCGGGGGGTTGGGGGGAATAAGCAGGGCGAATATTGCAGTGCCTCTACAGTCGTTCGTAAAGGTGAACGATTGTCGTGATTCTGCAACATTTGTAACTTCGGGACTGTGTTATAAATACTTGGGGGGAAGGTTATGTCGCAACATCAAATGGTCGATAAGTTAACTGTCGTAACTCGAAGATCACCTGTAACATGCAAATAAAAAGGGCCTGGTGGCTCAGCAGACTGATAGCATTGTGATTAACACCAGCTGTCTGCAATTACTGTAAGTTCGAATCTCACCAGGCTCAAGGTTGACTCAGCCTTCCATCCTTTCTAAGGTAGGTGAAATGAGGACCCAGATTGTGGGGGCAATAAGCTGACTTTGTATAAATATACAAAAGTATGAAGGCTATTGTTTAACGCATTGTAAGCTGCCCTGAGTCTCCGGAGAAGGGCGGCATATAAATCAATTTTTTTAAAAAAAATACTATATGATCAAAAAGAAACATGTAACACAAACCGATGATAGCTGTGGCTTCTTTGGTTCTGGCAATTTTGTTTTCGACCTTGTAACTCGCATGACAATTGGAGCTTCCTAGGAACAATCCAGAAATAAGAATGAGCAAATTCCAATCTCCGTATTATATGTGTACCTTTTAATAAGAAATGTTTTTGGAAGAATCTAGAAGCATTTAGGAATTCTCATGCAACTTTTTTAATATCTTATTTTGCTCTTGGTTATTTATTTTCTTAATTACCATTACTTGACTGTCTATTTATATTTTAATATGTGCTTTTCAGGAGTTCTCTAAAAACAATTTATAAAAATGTTCAAATAAAATATTTAAAGTAAATATAAAGGAAATTGAAAAACCCTATGTTCACATAAATTGCTCAACCCCATTCCAACAGAATTTTCCACACTTTTATATAATAAATAATGCCCCCTTTCATGTGTTGGTGATTAGTTTTATTTTATCCTTTCTTCCAAATATTTTGAGTAGCCTACATATGCACTTTGGCATTTTTCTCATAAAAGTCCCTACAGTATGCATATGTATGCATTATTGGCTCAATATCATGGAATCAAATTCATGGTCAAATGCAATTTCAATTATATTTGTCCTCCCCAATGGTTTAAATCTAAAGTAACAGAACATAAAGTATAATCTAATGCTACAAAATACTGTCCAATATAAAATTAAATAGGATGAGCTGCAAGAATCATTTCACCAAATCATATCAACAGCTGTGAAATACTGTACAGAATAAAACATTTTTGCATCAACTCAATGAAACTTGGATTATTTAAACCAGAGAAGCCATCTAACACAGAAAATGTAGACTTTTCCCATTTGGTTAATCATAGAGAAACTGCTTTTTCTTAGCCTGATCATGTAACCAGAGCAGAATATCAAGTCTCTATTTGCTTTGATGAAACACATCCTACCTATTTGGAAGTGATTAGGAAAAAAGCTTGTTTGCGAGCCAATCATGTGTTTATCTTATCATTCCTTCACTTGAAAATTGGAAATTTATTCATAATTCCTCTTGATTTTAAATAAGGCAATCTGATAAGGAATCAATTTAAAGACTTTGCTTTCCTGGGAATATTCTGATGAGCATTATGGAATCCCACATAACAAGACCATGATCTGGTTATTGTAAATAGATCTTATATTCATGTAACCTTTCCTTCCTACTTTATACACAAATCTGCTTTCCCTTTCTGATCCATAGAAGCTATTATTAACTATTGAACTACTGGTAGCCTTGGGCTTATTACAATTGGGACTGGAATCTCAGCTGAGGAGTGAAGCAGTCATTAAGCAAGATGCCCCTGCAAGTGCTTACTCAAAGACTGCAATCCCAGTTCTCCAAGTTGCAGGCTTTAAGTGACCACGTGGGTTGCTAAGTGGGGTAAAAGAGCTCTCTGCTGGAGGAGGACAGGCAGGACACCATGCATTGAGGGGAACTCATGTGCTGGGCTGGAGAAATGAAATGGGGGTCACAAAGACCTCTTCATTCTTCCAACCCAATGCATGATTCCGTACAGATTGAAAAAAGTCCATCCTAAATTGATGGAGTATTTGCAGCATGGGGCGTTTACATCCAAGCCCCAGATACAAGAGAACTCCCTCTGGTTTCTGGGGGCTGGCTGCAAACGTCCTGTGCTGCAAATATACAATACTAACATCCTGCTATGATTTCAGGACAGATCCTTTTCAACCAGCCCCTAGAAACCAGAGGAAGTCCTCCTGGCAGGCAGCAGACGCTTGCAATTTTCCCTGTTGGCTTTCCAATTGACTTTCTAAGGAAGCCAGCAGGGAAGATAGTGAATGGTAGATCACATGATCACGGTATGCATGTCAACCTATTGTAAATGCAAATGGGTTGCCAAATTTCCAGATTGCAATTATATGAACATGGAGGCCCTGCAACAACCATAAATTCAGGCATGGGTTGTATATCCCTTTGCACAGTGCTGTCATAATTTTGAACAGTCACTGAACAAATTAGTCATTAAGCAAGGACTACCTATAAAACCAGAAATATGCTTCTAATCTAGTTTCGAGTTCTAAATATGGAAAAACAAACAAGAAATGGAAAAGCCTGAAATATTTAAGAAGTTCAGAGACTTATGAAGTTCAACTCATGCTTTATTAACCCAACATATGAATTAGCTGTTTCAGGCAACTTGGTAAAGGAATGCAAGATGCATTGGAGCTCTGCTTAAATATTAAGTTATTCTCACTTTCTCTTTTGATTTGTTCAATACTGGAATCTGTGATGCTTTTGAGAGAAAAGCAGGGAGGTCTGGTTTGAATTGTCCACATTTAAAAATAGGCTTCTCTCTCTGCTCCTTCAACTTGCGAAGTTCTTTTTCCGCCTTGTAGCGGTGAAGCATGTCTATGCGCTCTTGTTCACGAGTCTTGACTGCAGCATCTAAAATTTAACATATGCGAGTTGAAATCCCACATAAAGTGTGCTATCAAGATTAAAACATATATTGAGTAGCTAGAACAGCAGATGGAAATCAAAAAGAGATAAAAACAATATCCCACAATTAGATACACAAAAAAGAAAGTACACAGAAAGATCTATATTGATATATGTGAAAAATATCTAGCCAATTTAGGTGATTGCAAGTTGAATAGCAAACAGTATCTAAAAAATAAGAAAATTTCAGGCTACTTTAATAATAGCATGATACCCAGAACACGAGAAATAATAATCCCTATCTATGTTGCTCAGGTCAAATGTCAAAATCATGTTCTGGGAATCATGTTTTAACAACACATACATGAAGAATTTTCTCCAGAAGAATTCAAACAAAACGAGTTTGGTGAGAAACAATTAAGAGCTTGGATATATAGCATAGAAGAATAAAAAATTAAAATTAACCATAGCAGATCTCAATTGTCCTAGGGACAAGAATAGAATAAAAAGTGAAATCATTCTACACATTAGACACATAATGTAAGAATTGTTTCAAGAGGAGGTGGCTTTCTTTGTGATAAATATTTAAACAACAAACTGTTAAAAGATGCCACAACTTTGTCAATTCTGCACTGAATGGCACATAAATCCTTTCCAAATTTACAAGCATGTTAACTGTTGATTTTCAAACATCACAGAAAGTAATAAATTTAATTCAAGTGTAGGCTAAAACCAAAAGAGGTTTTAGAAGTACAGAAAGTCCTCAGGCTATGAACCTCTGGCTTATGAACAACTCCTAGATATGAATGGTCTGCCTGCAGTACTTAAAATAGTGGACAGTTGACTGCCCGTGAGATTCGACTCAAAAAGAGAAAGGCAGGTGCATGCTGGCAAGGACAGCCCCAGTACTACAGGTGGGGAAGCCAGGCAGTTTCTCTCTTTCACACACACATGTGGCATCTCTTTCCTGCACACAGTTGTAGGTACTGCAGGCGAGGAGGCTCTGGCAGCATCACTCGTTCTTGTGCACATGACTGACAAGGAGAGTCTCAATGCTGCAGGTGGGGAGACTATGGCTAAACAGCACAGCACTACCTATTTCTCCAATGCAGCATTTCGAAGGAGAATGGGACAACTTGCCACAGCCGACTTGTTGCGGGAGAGCTCACCATGGCCAACTTGCCACAGGACAATTCACTGCGGTACAATTTAACAATTCCATTTAATTATTTAAAATAATTAAAAAATAGTTTTAATTTTTCCCATCCCCATTTCATTTTGTCCCTCATTTGGCATCCTTTCTTTAATGATTGTATTCCACTATTTCCTGGATATTAGTGTAACTCTTGTCCTGTGGTGAATTGGCCATAGCAAGTTGTCAGCAGCGAGTTGGCAATGGCGAGTAGACCGTGGTGAGTTCCCCGCGGCAAGTTGCCATAGACCCTTTTGAAGAAGCCCTCTTGCATGTCTCCCCATTTGCAGATCCCTGCAATCCCTACCCCACTTGGGGTCTGTGCACACTCTCACCTGTTTTCAGCAGTTCATAGTAAGACAAAGTAACACTTTAGGTACAAATTCAGCTGGAGGACAGACTTAGAAATGAAACTTGTTTTTAACCTGGGGACTTGTTGTATTTAAAAAGATAACAAAATAACTTAATAAATTTAGGAAAGACAACAAAGATAAAGACCGAAAACAAGTCTTGGTTAATATTTAAAAAGCTTTTACTTACTTGGCTTTGGCACACCCCCTTTGCTTTTTCCGCCCAGCTGAGAAGTAGCTTTGTCTCTTGATGGCTGTATGTTCACATCCACTAGTCCAAATTGCCTGCCCTTATTAAATTCCTTGTGTCTATTCTCTTTTTGAATTGTAGACTTTCGGCGAACAAGTTTTGTCTTGAGTGTATCGATGCTCAGATCTTTTTTGTACCGAGTGGCAAAATTAGTAGTCATCTTAATCTAGATATAAAATAAAGGCAAGAAGCATTTTACATTACAGATCTTTGCTGAGCCATCTGAAAATTTTACTGACAAGCAACTTGTTTCTATACATGGTGGTAAATCTATGCAGGTAACAAAAAGCAGAAGGTACCACTGTCATACCCCAAGCAATGTAACTTTTTTCCAGGATGAATTTACATCACTAGTAAAAAGGCTTGATTTAAATCAACTCTATTTAAATCATAATTTTTAAGGAGCAACGGTCATCTCTGTCCCGCAGTGCCTCCTCCTCTAACCCGCTGTTGACTCAGCGACAGTCCCATTCACTTTAACGGGATGGATGGTGATGTGGCAGTGACACAACAAGGTGAGGGATGTCGCAGGCAGTAGGTGAGTGGATGCCCGCTAACAGGCATTGCCATGATAGATCTGAAATGACAGGTGCTCTTTTATATTATAAATATAATATAATATATTATATTTATAAGCTGCTTAGAAGGTTTCATTTTCATTTTTGCTGCTTGCCCTTCCTCCTCACACTTAGAGCCCGGTAGTACAGATACATTTCTCTTCAAACAATCATACCAGTTTGTAATGTACATAGATTTGAAAACAATGGGATAAAGGAATATTCCTGAACTTTGTTTTATGATTTATCTCATGGTTACTGTGAAATTGTGTAAATGCATCAATGCAGTGCATGTTATCTCAGCTTGCAGAGCTTGGATTCATTAAATGAGTTTACCAAAAATATAAATATTACAGAATATATAGCTCCATACTACATAACTAAGCTCCATTTTCATGCTGAATAAACTAAATTATTAATGTATTTTAAATAGAAAACTATCTTTAAATTTTTAATCCAAAAGCATTTTATTAAAATAAATTTGATACAAATCAAAGAAATCCGATTTAAATTTAAAAAAAATCAGATTTACATTTAAAAAAATCAGATTTTTTTGATTTTAAAAAAATCATCGATTTTTATCCACCCTGCTTTTTTCACAGGATAGTTGCTACATCTTTGATAATGTTAGTTACTATTTTCTATGTACCTCTAACAATCTTTCTGGAATAGGGGAACCAGAAAAGTACACATTACTTCTAAATGCATTTATATCAGGGTGGATAAAAATCAATGATTTTTTTAAAAAAATCAAAAAAAATCAGATTTTTTTGATTTAAATTGGATTTTTTTAATTTTTATCGAATTTATTTTAATAAAAAACTTTTGGGGTAAAAATCTATTGTAAGATAGTTTTCTATTTAAGATACATAAATAATTTAGTTTATTCAGCATGAAATGGAGCTTAGTTATGTAGCATGAGGCTGTTTATTCTGCAACACTGGGACTATCGTTGAGTCAACAGTGGGTCAAAGGAATAGCAGAGATGACAGTTGCTCTTTAAAAATTATGATTTAAATTGAGTTGATTTAAATCAAGCCTTTTTACTAGTGATTTAAATCATGATTTAAATTGTGATTTCAATCAACTCGATTTTAATCAAATCCACCCTGATTTATATCATATATGAAGCTTTATACAGGTAGTCTTTATATATGTCTGTGGGGTCTTCGGTGCTCTCTGAGCTTTTACTGCAGATGTTTCATTATCAAACTAGGTAATATCATTAAGAAAACCACCAATCTCAGCACCAAGAATCCCATAGTTCAACCATGAGCTACAAATATTCTCTTCTATCAGTACTATATAGGGCATCAAACACTTCAGAAAGCACGCAAATGGGAGAAATTTGCATGTAGGCACGCTTCCACCAAGGAACTATTTTTTCTGCATGAATGCCTATGACAGCATGCCTAACCCACCAGTCTCAGATACAAACTTCTAATAAACTGCACAGCAAGATGGGAAAATAGCCATCCTGGACAAAAAAACAATACAGCTTATGATCACAGAAGTGCACCTCAGACTGAATAAATATCAGCACCATGGAAAACTTCAAGGAGCATTTAGAAGAGACTATCACACCAGAGCACATTGAAAGACTGACAAGCACAATCAAGACTACTTCCCAGACCCATGCCAGAAAAAGGAAATCTAGAACTGCAAACCAAACTACTCAAAGTAAATCTCAGAATCAAAGAGCCTGAGTGGCGTAGGAGGCTAATGCCTCCTAAGGCAGCATTTAACATCCAGCTGCCTGCAATTACTGCGAGTTCAATTCTCCCCAGGCTCAAGGTTGACTCAGCCTTCCATCCTTTCTAAAGTGAGTAAATTGAGGACCCAGTTTGTGGGGGCAATAAGCTGACTTTGTATAAATATACAAAAGTATGAATGCTATTGCTTAACGCATTGTAAGCCGCCCTGAGTCTCCGGAGAAGGGCGGCATATAAATCAAATTTAAAAAAAAAAAAAAAGAGAGGCCTGGGAGTCTGAATGAGTGGTCAAAGTGTTCAGCCGTCCACTATCTACTGCAGAATACAATATTCTATAGAAAGGCCTCAATTTCCACACAGATGATGCTAATCAATTTGAAGTCTTTATGGAAGCTTTTAAAACCCAGGACTTCTCACAGAGACTCAAGAAAGCATCAGACAAACTATCATATCACAGATCAGAAGGAAAGGGGAATAGAACCCACTCAAAGCAGAGGGCAGAGCAGCCTCAAAAACCTAAAGAAGGACCATTCGATTACCATCCTACCAGCAGACAAAGGCCCAACCACAGTTAGCATGATCAGAGCACAATATATACAAAAAGCCAAAGAATTACGGAAAGACAAAGAAACTTACATCTTAGTGAACATCAATATAATACAGAAACTAGACCCGTGATGGCGAACTTATGGCACAGGTGCCACAGGTGGCACGCGGAGCCATATATGTGGGCACGCAAGCGTTGGCCTACTCAGCTCCAGCGTGCCGGCCAGCTAATTTTCGGGCCTACCTGAAGTTGGGAAATCGGCTGTTTCCGGCCTCCGGAGGGCCTCCCGGGTGGGGGATAGAAGGCTGTTTTCGCCCTCCCCAGGCTCCAAGAAAGCCTCTGGAGCCTGGGAAGGGCGGAAAACGGGCCTACCAGGCCAAAAGTGGGGGTAGCGTGGGGGGGGGGGGTCACGCACACATGTGTGTGGGGTGCATTGAATTATGGGTATGGGCACACGCATGTGCGATCCCCCCGTATGATCCCCACTTTTGGCACGCGACAGCAAAAAGGTTAGCGATCACTGAACTAGACAATTGGATCGAAAGAACTCTTAGTGACCTTACCAAGAAAGGTCAAATCACTAAAGAACAGTGGCAGATGAAAAGCAGTGGATCCATTCCCCATGCTTTTATGGATGCCCCCCAAAACACACAAGCTAGATATACATCTGTGACCAATTGTATCATTATCAATGCACTGATGTTACCTAAGTTTGATAATAAAACATCTGCAAGAGCAGCAAACTCAGAGAACCCCAAGAACCCCAAAGTTCAACCCTGAATTAAAAATATTCTCTTCTATCACTATCAAGTCTGACTGGAGATAACTACCCTAAAGCATCTTCCAGAGCCTCCCTGGACTTTCTGCATAAAAAAAAAAACCCTCAGTATTTTCAAATACTGTACCTATTCTTACATTTTAAAAAAGTAAAAGCTCAAGATCTAGCAATCTGGTGGCCTGGTGGCTCAGCAGACTAAAAGCATTGTGATTAACACCAGCTGTCTGCAATTACTGTAAGTTTGAATCTCACCAGGCTCAAGGTTGACTCCGCCTTCCATCCTTTCTAAGGTAGGTAAATTGGGGACCCAGTTTGTGGGGGCAATAAGCTGACTTTGTATAAATATACAAAAAGTATGAAGGCTTAACGCACTGTAAGCCACCCTGAGTCTCCGGAGAAGGGCGGCATATAAATCAAATTAAAAAAAAAACCTACAGTAATAGAACTGAATGTAAATAGTCTCTTTGTTTTCTAACGTTTTGTCCTATTGCAAAGTAAAATGCAAAACGCATGACTCAAACATCAGAAGAATACAACGGCTGTAGAGCTTATCTAGCTGAGCATCTTGCCTCTCAAGAGCAAAGCAGAATAGACCCCACCAAAAGTGATCTACAGCAATTTAGGTTCAGTGATAAACTGTCTTCAATCCTGGAGGTTCCTTATAGTCTGTAGATAGGGCATTTCTACCTCTCTTAGTATAGCTGGGAAGCTCTGCTGGGAAATCAATGCCTTTTTCTATGCTACTATATTGGGCTTCAAGGAAACTTTTCATTAATGGCAGGCAATGAATTATAGCAGCCCCTGGGGGAAGATGGGACCGGAGATGTAGCATACCCTATTCCCTAGCAAATCCCTACTTTTCAGCTTAACACCAATGGTGTTAAGAAATATGTTACTTCCCCAGCAGAATGGCATTTACTCTATTTCCTGAAGCCCTTCTACAAGTTTTGGGAGATTTGGTTTTCTTCCTCATATATTTGTGAAAGGTTAAAACAAAGGCAGCCATTACAGAATATATTATAATGCAATCCCAGCATCTCCAGTTGACATAACCAAGGCCACTACAAATGGGATGTTGGCAGTCACAGTGCAACATATCTGGAGGACACTGATGGCTCTGGCTCATAAGCCCTAATAAGTTTAAACCACAATGATGTCGGTCTGGTTTCTTATACCACTAAACACGATCTGTGGTTGTGTTCATAGAAATTGACCAGCACAGCTTCTCCGGGAGGGCTGCTAAGGTTTCTTATAATTCTTTATTTATGCTTTATGGTAACAAAATAGCAACAAAGAGGCATCAATGCTAACTAAACCTTTTATTTTATTAAATGTGTTTGTGGCCCATCTTGTTGCAAGGTAATTCTTAATCAATGCCCATTTCAGCAAGAAATTGAAATTGTTTTTATCTTGCTATTGTTTTGTATAAATGCCTCCAGGCAACAAATCAATATTAATACATTTCTCTTCCTATTTTCCCCACAACAACAACTCTGTGAGGTGGATTGGGTTGAGGGAGTGGCTCAAGGTAAACTCAGCTAACTCTCAGAGGTCTAAGGGAGTACTAGAACTATCTTCTGGTTTCTAGCTTGATGCCTTGAAAAGAACTCAGAGAAGAGCAGCAAAGATGATTAAGGGACTGGAGGCTAAAACATACCAAGAACGGTTGCACAAACTGGGTGTTAAGGATATTGTTGTTGTGTTACCAACCAGCAGAGTGTGGAGCACAGAGAAACGTTGCTGAGAGCAATGAATAAGAGATGTGCAAACTGGTTTATCAAGTTTACTTTATAGTGAAAAAACAATCTCATAGTCTTTAAATCAATTCAAGTCTTTGCCAGTTAAATCAGTCCAGTGATACAAAAACTCTTCTTACCACACAAACAATAGTTGGTTAGAATAACAAACTCACTCTGGTTCACAAACCACGATGGTAACAGATCCATCCAACCATGATAGTACAATGGTAGCAACTCCACACACTATGGTAGCTTATCATCAACTGAATACGTTACAGTACCTTTCTTAAATACCTTTACGACCAGTGATTATCTAATTACAGCATGACTCAGCATTACAATGAATCAGCAGTAAAACTTTAAAGTCACACAATACATATTCATATTAAAGTCACAGAACACATATATTGCCTGGACAACTTGTTGGCTCAAACCATATCCTAACATGGGCATGTCTTGTCAACTGAAAAAAAGGACTAAGGGTGAGTTGATTCCAGTGTGGCAATATTTGAGCAGCTGCCACAAAGAAGAGGGGAATCCAACCTATTTTCCAAAGCACTAGAAGGCAAGGCAAGAAACAAAGGATGGAAACTAAGCAAGGAGAGAACCAAACTCGAAATAAGGAGAGAGAAAAAAATCCTGACAGTGAGAACAAGCAACCATTGGCTCGGCTCGCCTTCAGAGGTTGTGTGTGGGTTTCATTGCTGGAGGCTTTTAAGGAGACTGGACGGTCAACTTGTCTGAAATACCGTAGTACAGGGTCTCCTACCTGAGGAGGGGACCGGACTAAAAGACCTACAAAATCCCTTTCAATTCTTGTCCTGTTCAAACTGGAGCCTGAGTGGCATAGGCTAATGCCTCCTAAGGCAGCATTTAACATCCAGCTGCCTGCAATTACTGCGAGTTCGAATCTCGCCAAGGCTCAAGGTTGACTCAGCCTTCCATCCTTTCTAAGGTAGGTGAAATGAGGACCCAGATTGTGGGGGCAATAAGCTGACTTTGTATAAATATACAAAAGTACGAAGGCTATTGCTTAACGCATTGTAAGCCGCCCTGAGTCTCCGGAGAAGGGCGGCATATAAATCAAATAAAACAAAAAAAACTACCAGACCAAACGTCTGCTTCGAAATGCATACAGGTAGATTCAGAAGACTTGGTCTTCCTCCGGCCGGACTCCAAAGCCCATCCCCACCTCCCCCCAACCACGTAACCCCAACCCACATCCATTTCTGAGTCGTCCCTGAGGAACATCGCCATACCTCACGGCCACACGCAACCTCCGCCCTCCGTTGGATCCACGCGCGAGCTCGAACGGCTAATCGACCGAGCAAGGCTTGGGTCAGAACTCCAGTTCAAATTTTTTGCTAACGTTTCCGACTGGTCGTTGAGACAACAATACTGCGTTTTCATTGGCTATATTTTTATATTCTCTGACGTCAGTCCGTCTCCCATCGGAGAGATGTGATTGGATGACGGAGCGGCGCTTTTATTGGTGCCCTAATTAAAAAGTCCAGCCCCCCAAAAGCCCGGATTGGTTCGGAGATTTCATATCTCGATTGTTGCTGCTTCTCCGGTTATGTTATTTCTTTTTTCCCTGGGAGCAGTTGGGCGTCAAGGAAGTGAAGGCGGGAAACGTTACGATACTTGTGTTCAGATGTGACAGTGGCAGTTCTAAACCACACAAGGCAGAGGGAGGGAGTAATAAGTATTGTGGAAAAGTTGCAGCCCTTCAATTTTCCCCTTCTTTAACTGGGGAACACTATTTCAGCTCTGTGGGAGGGTTGTTGGGTTTTTTTCATTTATATTTTTTTTTGCATTTCTTATACTCTTGAGAATTAGCATTTGGGATCGTTCTGATTGCTGGAAAAACAATATTGTTGGGGGCAATATGCTATTTAGTATACTGTCTTTGGTGTAAGCCGCCCAGAGTCCTCGGAGAGTGGGCGGCATAGAAATATTATTATTATTATTAATTAATAATAATAACAACAACACTGTTCAGCCAACCAAGCCAACACTTGGTTCCAATTCTGCTCGATTACTATTAGGGAAACGGATAAGGGCTTTATGATTCCTCGTCAAAGGAATGTCTATGGAGATTCTCAGTCATCCAGGTCATGACTGTCCCAAAGGTGCTTTTTTCAAGAGGCAAATTGGACTTTCAGATTTTTTGAAAAGCCAGAAAGGCCAGTTGCCTCTTGAAAAAAAGCACCTTTGGATCGTCATAGGAATGGCAAGTTTTTTTTTACTTGCTGTTTTGATCGTGCTTACTTATTGCTTGCCCCTCGAAGCTACTTAACGATTGGAACGGCATTTCGTAGACTTCACAAAATAATTACCCCAATTACCTCCCAATTGCTCCCTCAAAACAGATTCTAATAATGATTTTAATAGACTGCAGTAAAAGTTCGTTAAGCCTTTCTTGCCCCGCCTTCTCTTCCACTTGGCTGCTGTTGCGTGCTAAGGAAATCGCAAGGCAACCCGGAAGTGACCAGTGTGAATCCCATCTTCTTGTTTCGTAAATCTATGCTCAGAAAAACCGGGGCTTGACTGGCGTGCCGGGACCGGAACAGGAAGCCGTTGCGGCTTCCTTCTCCCGCGTGGGAAACTCGTGTTACGTTCCGGCTCCCCGCTGTACTGCGAGTTCGGGATTTTTACGTGTCGGGTTTTTTTATTTTATTTTGTTTTTTCTTATTGACGGCGTAACGAGTGGGTAAGTAGAATCTGATGAGCAGATGTCGCTTTTTGGATAGCCAAAGCCGGGGAGGAGAAGTGGGGGCAATGCACCCTGTGCAGATCAACTCGGAAGTTAAGGGAGACCACTCCCAAAGAAGTGTATGAAGTATTGCATGTTAAAAGTGTGTTAAGTATTGCGTGTTACTATTATTTATTATTATTATTTATTGAATTTCTATACCGCCCTACTCCCGAAGGACTCAGGGCGGTGTACAGCCATGAAATAAAACACATAGATATACAAAATTTAAAATACTAGACACAAGGACAGTTTTTCCTCCCATGCTATCACTCTGCTAAACAACTAATTCCCACAACTCTGTCAAACTATCTAAAAAGGCAGTATTACCATCATTCTCATCTTCCCTATTACATATCTCCTTATCTTCTTATGACTATAACTTTGTTGCTTATCACTATTGTTTGTATGTACATCGAGAGCTTACGCACCGGAAACAAATTTCTTGGGTGTCTAATCACACTTGGCCAATAAAGAATTCTAATTCTAATGTCTAAAACCGTGCTTCAAAATCTTCTCAAGTAAGACTTGGTGCATGTATTTTCTTCCTTCACTTTAACTTATCCTATCCCTTCTTACCTATATAAAATCTCTTAAATTGTGAACTGTAGGTAAAACGTGGAGCTTTTTCACGAGGTTCTGGTGCGTCCTTACAAAACTGTCAGCTGCATTGGTAGAAATCTGATATCTTCTTGAACCGGGTTTATTAGTTGTGAGCAGCAGCTATTTTTTATTTATTTTTTAAATGTGTTTGTATTCCTGAATGTAGAACAGCTTGGTCTTTTAGAGGCATGTGTTGTAGTGTGTAAAAAATAAGTTAAATGTGTTTCTCCCCTTGAGGCAATCGAAGAGACGAACATGGTGCGTAAACTGAAATTTCATGAGGAGAAGCTTCTCAAGAAGCTAGATTTGGTGAACTGGGAAGCTGCATCAGGCAATCTAGCTGAGCTGCGTGTGCTTCGTCGTTTCCGTATACAGCGGAGGGAAGATTACACTCGCTACAATCAGCTTAGTCGGGCTGTTCGGGAACTAGCACGCCGGATCAGAGACCTGGGTGATGTACCAGAATCAGCAGGTTTCCGCGCTAGAAGCACTGCTGCTCTTCTGGACAAACTTTATGCCATGGGTGTGGTACCCACTAAGAGCTCTCTTGAGCAGTGTGATCGAGTCTCAGCCTCTTCCTTCTGCCGTCGCCGTTTGCCTTGTCTGCTCATAAAGCTCCGTATGGCACAAAACTTGAAATCTGCTGTGACCTTTGTGGAGCAGGGGCATATCCGGGTAGGACCAGAAGTTGTAACAGACCCTGCATTCCTGGTGACCAGGGCCATGGAGGACTTTATTACCTGGACTGATTCCTCTCGCATCCGACAACATGTACTCAACTACAATCAGGAACGGGATGATTTTGACTTCATTTCTTAAGAACAACTTTTCTTTGATTAACCATTTGCGTGATTACACCTTAAATATTTAATTCAGTTGGCTTCAGGAGGTGTCCTACTAGTACATTTCTGTCTTATTTGTTTTGCTTGTTTAGTTGTGCAAACGGTATATAGTTGTATACAGACTATAAACCAAGCCACACTCTTTTGCGATCAGGTGCAATTTTTATAACTGCATGATTAGGGTTTCTATCAGAAGTGAGGACAACAATCTCATATGGGCATCTTGCAAAACATCCTGTGTGTTCCTTTTTATTGATTTCATTTTGGATCACAGTGAAGATTAATACCATAATTGGATTGCATCTGACCTCTTCCCAAAAGATGGTATCAAAACTTGTTCCATCTAGAATGCTTTAATTAAAACAGACTTTATTATTCCCTTTTGATCAAGATTTGGATGGCTGCCTACAGCAAATCTATGCAGTCATTATTTTAAGATTTATTTTTTTCTTGGCATCTCAACAACTTTATATTCTGTTTGTTTCTATAGTAACATGTTCTCTATTAGTGTACAAGCTGTTATGCCAATGTTAAATTGTTGGCTAGAACTTAAGGTTTTGAACTGGATATTGACTGTACATCTTTATCTTATCCATAGCATCTACAATAATGGAAAGAAATTTACTCTGATCATGATTATAATATTGTGTAATACCTCAAAACATTAATTTTGAGTTCAGTTTTGGAGCATAAAGCTATTTAAAATCTTTGTGTTCTCTGTAAAGATTTTTTGCTTATAGATGGCCTTGCTGCTGTTTGTTCATATATATATTAAAATCCTGTTTCTTTTCATTGTTATATACAGTTCTCCTATCTGCTCTGAAACAAGAAGGAAGTTTTAAGTTATTTCCTAACTGCACATTACCTGTAGTTATTGAGATGCAGTTGACAATGAGAACTTTTGCCCTAGAGCAGCTGACTCCAACCTTTCTGGCTCGGTGATCCAACCGGGAGGGGCTGGGGGAGAGAAGCAAGTATGTGCAACTCTATTTGCACTCACACAAATGGAGTAAGCACATAAGTGCCCACTGTTGCACAAGTGGAACTTCGCATGCGAGCGCCTGCCACTTGGACAAATGGAGATGCATGTGCACTCGCCCACTGCTTGTGCGATCCAGTTCCAAACAGGCCATAGCCAGTTCTGAATGGCCCATGGAGATGGGGAAGGGATGGTTCTATGCGAGGGGCCGCCACTCACACATGGAGTTTTGCGCATGAGCGCGAGTGCCTGCAACTCTCACAAATGGAGCTGCACACATGCGCACGTACTCACTCTTCACTCATGTGGCCCGGTTCTAAATGGGCCACAGCCTGGCCAGGGGGTTGGGGACCCACGTCCTAGAGAACATGTGTAATTATTCCTAGATGAAAACAAATCATTTGCAGAAAGCATTAAGAAAGGCATTTTTTCCTTAAAGGTAATTGAATTGAATAGTATATTAAGGGTGTGTTTTTACACAATATGCTAAGCCATTTTTTATTGAAAAATTAGAGCTGGTTGGATTAACACTTAAGATTGATTGCTTAGAGCAGGGATCCCCAAACTCTTCATCTCATCAACACCTTTATGAACTTTGAGTTTGTTCATCAACCCTCAAACATGAAAATATATATTAAAAATGATATTGAAAATATGAAAATAATAAATGCTACTTTAATAACCACTGGGGAGGTCAATATTGATCACATTTATTTATCAAATTTAGGTACCCCCCCCCCCTTGCTACCTAGGTGACTGGACAGATTCCAGATAAAGATCATAAAATCATATAAAAAGGTACAATTAAAATACACAAAAAACAGGATAAGGAACAAGAAAAAAATAAAAGTTAAAATATAAGTTAAAAGGCGGAGGAAGCATGCTCAAGGCATCAACCATACTCAAGGCCACATGGCGTTCTTGGATGCCCACACACAAGGAAGGCCAGGAAAACTGGCCCAATCTCACCTCCAGGAGGATGACATTTCATAAAGTGGAAGCAACAGCAGAGGTTATTTTCCTAGATCCCATTATTCAAAGTTACATGTGTATGTATCTGTGTGTTTCTGCCCAAATTGAACAATGCAACTCAGGACAGCTCACAAGAAATAACCAAATTAAAACAGTAATCAAGAATAAATAGTAACACTAGGTGACCTGGCTCACATTCATATTCTCTCTTGATGGGAACTACTCATATTGACCCCAATGTTTGGGGAAATAAGTTTTTATGGCCTTTTCGGAAAGAGTTATTTAAGGGAAAAGTATCCCATATGAAAGAAGGTAAAGTCTACTAAAGATAATCAGAAATAACAGTAAATCAGTAGAATGTTGGCAAGTAATTTATTTGGATTATTGTATGAAGAAATGTTAAGACTGCAAAGAAACTAATGAAATCTTGACAGCTATTTTTTATTATAGGAGTTGTTGAGCCTGAATTGGTTGCTTAGATTTGTTTGAATGACTGAGGTGTCTTTGAATGAATGAATGAATGCTTTATTCTTTTTAAAAAGGGAGAATGAGATACTGAGGAATTGTGGCAAATATTGATACCAATAGATGAGATTCTTAAAGTTACTACGGAAACAAATTGAAAATAAAAAAAACTGAAAAATATACAAAGTGAAATATATAGTTAGTGATCTACTAAATATGTTGTATATCCCTGTAAAACTGGCCAATTTAAAGCCACCTTAATTTTAAAACATGCAACCATGGGTAAAAAGTAATGCATCTATGCATTTGTTGAGTGGAATGAATGTCAAAAGAAGCTAGAAGCTAGAATGAATGTCAAAAGAAGCTATTAGAATAGAATAGAATAGAATAATAGAATAGAATAGAATAGAATAGAATAGAATAGAATAGAATAGAACAACAGAGTTGAAAGGGACCTTGGAGGTCTTCTAGTCCAGCCCCCTGCCTAGGCAAGAAACCCTACACTACTTCAGATGGTTATCCAACATCTTAAAAACTTCCAGTATTGGAGCATTCACAACTTCTGGAGGCAAGTTGTTCCACTGATTAATTGTTCTAATTTGTCAGGAAATTTCTCCTTAGTTCTAAGTTGCTTCTCTCCTTGATTAGTTCCACCCATTGCTTCTTGTCCTACCCTCAGGTGCTTTGGAGAATAGCTTGACACTCTCTTCTTTGTGGCAGCCCCTGAGATATTGGAACACTGCTATCATGTGTCCCCTAGTCCTTCTTTTCATTAAACTAGACATACCCAGTTCCTGCAACTGTTCTTCATATGTTTATGAAGACTATTTTGTTTCATTGGTCTGAAAGGTATGGGTAGATATGTCAAAAGAAACAAAGTTGAATACAGTGGAATGTGTTCCTTAAGAATGTGTAGGTTAAAACAAGAAGTAGCAAGTGATGAATGAATATAAGCTGAATGTAAATGAGAGTGACCAATGCTGTGACAGTCCTGCAGTTGTCATGTCGTCTATTTTGTATATCTCTGGAGATATGCAAAAACAAAAAAGGGTATTAGGCTGGTAAAATCTTAAATCACAGGAACTTTGGGAAACAAAAGGGGAAGAGAACTTAAGGGAGATATATACTGGCTGACATCTAAGAGACTGACAGCAGCTCTGGCTGTTGAAGATGAATTGCTGGCTTTAGTAACTGGTAGAACTGGTTAATCTAAAATGGACATGACAGTATTATACTGCTGAAACTTCGTTTTGTTCTTAGGATGGTAAAATTCATCTAAAGCGGAGAAGGGCATCATTTGGGAAATGTTGTGGATGGCAAATAAGAGGAAGTATAGTAGGACCTTGTCTAACCTTTGTAAATGATCCCACAGAGTTTAGTGATAGAAGGGAAGGCTTTACCAACCGGAGAAAAGCCAACTGGTAATTTGACTAACAGAGGGAAAATTGGCTCCTCCTTAATTCTGGATAGTGGTAGCATTAGTACAATACTAGTATTTACAAACACAGAGGGATACGTTTATTTTATTATCATATTAACAGAATAACAGAATTGGAAGGGAGCTTGGAGGTCATCTATCTAGTCCAAGTCCTGCTCAAGCAGGAGACCCTATATTCATGATGGCGAACCTATGGCATGCGTGCCAGAGGTGGCACGCAGAGCCCTCTCTGTGGGCACGCGTGCTGTCACTAACTGGTCTTCTAGTTTCCGGCACACACATGTGCACCGGTTGGTCTTCGTGCGTGTGCTGGAAGCCCAAAGACCAGCTGGCAGGTACATGCATGCACTGGCCAGCTGGTTTTCGGGTTTCTGGTGCTCTGGTACTCCGACATGCATGTTCCAGTTTGGGCATTCGGTGCCGAATATGTTCACCATCACTGCCCTATATTATTCCTGACAAATGGCTGTTCAATCCGTTGTTAAAAATCTCCAGTGATGAAGACAACTTTCGGAGACAAGCTATTCCACTGCTTACTTTTATTATTATTAATAATAAATTATATATACATTTAATAAATACATAGTATTATTTACATATTGCCCAACTGGCAATGACTAGGTACATATATACTGAGCTAATGGTATATGTTGCAAATATAGACATGCTTAGAGAACCTTAGATTACACTACTGTATTCAGGCAACACTCCAGTTACAATGCCTTTTTAGATCTCAGGCCAAAGCCTCATTCCATTTGCTGGTTCTTACAAGTAAAAGCGGTTAAAGAAGGTAAGAGAGTCTAGGCTTGGATGATATAGCTATAATTAACTTTGCAGAGGAATGTTATCTGTTTGCTTAATAAAGGGGGGGGGACAAAGTAGTGTGTAATATTTTATGGTTTTCTGTCAAAACTATGCTCAGAGATAACTTCGGTTGCAAGTACAAATTTGGTTATACATATAAAGTGAAACAGGATCAAACTGCAAAACTAATGTACAAAAGAACAGTAAATAGATTAAAAGGAAGACAGATTGAGAAAGTTCTGGTTGGATGGAGTTGAGAGTTCAAAAGGTGAAAAGCTTAGAGAACAAAAACTGAGGTGTGAAGCAATATATGAACATGACAGAAGCAAGGATAGAAAGGTGTAAGAGATATCTTCAAACAAAAACCATTTTTTTCAGCAATGCGGTAACAGACCTTGTACTAAGCAGGGAGATAGATTTATCAGTGTCCCCCAACCTTTTTGTCACCAGGACCTGGAAATAATGGGGTGGGAGGGGGGAATGGTTTCAGTTTTGCTCACTTTCCCCCGCCACTCACCTCCAGTTGTGTGGTCCAGTTCCTAACAAGTCAGGGACCAGTCCCGGTCCCGGTCCATGGCTCAGGGGTAGGGGTAGGGGACCCATGGATTAAATGACTTTTTTATTCCTTCCAACTCTATAATTCTATGAATTTTAAGAAATTTATTAAAAATTTATACATAAAACTGTATATTTATTATTGGTGCTTAATTTGAAGTTGCTTTCTCTGATAGGCACAGATTAAATTATTTTTGTGATACCTTCCAATTCTATAATGCTATGAATTGTAGCAAATTTATTTAAAAATTATCTGCAGATAATTTGTTTTTGTATATATTTGTTATTGGTGCTTACTTCAAGTTGTTTTCTCTGTAGGAACAGCTTAGGTGAGACAAGCTTGTTCTATAATAGATCATGAGCATTGTCATTTAAAGTGTTGTCATTTTTCAACTTCAACCAGAGAACTAGTGAAGACTACTGTTCCTTATTCAGTGAACAGGTAAGCCCCAAAACTATTGGTACAATGCCTGTGAGGTAACTCAAGTCCAATAACTGTGTTTGCTTGACCTTCACATGTACAGATGACAAAGGAACCCTAACTGAAGTTCTCTTATTCAGATTTTTTATCTGCCAGAAAAATGC